TTTTTTCTTTACATCTGTTTTGCAATTTGATCCTTAGTCATTCTCTCTTTATGACCAAATTATCTCAGTGTTCTGGTCATTCTCATTCCTTCTTGAGTCTCCAGATGGTCATCACTTTTTTGGAACTATCTAGTCTTATCTCTAACTATCCATTCAAGCCACCTAACAGCATACTTTTTCCCCCTGGATTGCTTACGTTTGGATGCAATCATTCAGCAGTGCAAATCTTTTTTCTTTCTTTCTTTTTTAAAGCAGAGCTACAGACTGATGTCCAAGCCAATCCAGGTTTTGAAAGAAATGGGCCTTTTGTGGAACTGATAGGACGCAGCCATGATATTTTGGAGAAAGCAGGACGGTGGCTCAGAGATATTATATTGGTTGAGGAAACTGGACGGATTGTTATACGGAATCATAACATTTTAAACCTGAGCAGTGTCCAGCCTCTCGAATTGTCTCACCTTCAGCAACATTTTGGCATTAACATCCTGGAGAGTGTAAGTGGAGCAGGGGCAGCCCTAGAGATCGAAGGGTCTCCCCGAGCTGTGATTGATGCAGCCTTTGCAATTGAATTCATGCTACAGTCTACAGCCAAGCAAGAAGCTCTTAAGATGGATGGTACGTAGAGTTGTATGAACATATTCCACTGATAACAGATATTAATCTAATATCTTTAAGAATTCACGGAAAATTTTGGTTTAATTAACTTTTTAAAAGCAGGTTTCTAGTCCTTAGCAAAAGCAGTTTTAGAAATTTACATAATCTTTATTAAACTTAAAAGGAGTTTTGTTTCAGCATCTCACTATGAATTGCCCAATGCTTGCTAACAGCAAATAGTGGACGGGCAGACTGCTGGGACAAAACTGCACAGACATAAGTTGTACCTTTAAATGTTTGTATCATGACTTTATTCTTATAATGTAGAAAGTAATATAAATCCATGTCAGATAAATTAAAATAGCAGAATTCTACAATGATAGTCTGAACATGCTCTGCTCTAGGAAAATCACCCAACCATCTTTTTCAGAAAGCCAGAGGTTGGCTTGTCCATTTTTTGTTAAATCGTATAAACTAGTACAGCATTAGAATATTATTTAACCTCTGTTGTCAGTTGCTCGGTTTCATACTGCAAATTGTAATAAAATTGATACATATCAGTGGAATCCACAGAGGATCCGAACTTTGAAACAACATATAGTGAATGAAAAAAATATTTTAGTCGTGTTGGCTATATTAACTATTTTTTTCTTATTTCATCTTAGAAATATCATTTGCACAAATGTCCCGAGTCAGAAATACCCCAAATGGGTGTTTAAAATGTTTCCCATTTGAATGTGTGTGTGTGTGTATACATACTGTATACTCTCAATTTTTATTTTCTAATTTTCTACAATTACCGTTGTGGTTTATTTTTATTTTATTTAGCTTTGGTTTATTTTTTAAAAGATTCTGTATTTTTATTGATTTATCTTTTTATGTTAACACAAAAGTTTTTAAGGGTACGTTATAGCATAGCATTATGCTATATTTAATTTTTTCCTTTTATAGAACAAATGGAATTAAAGAGCATCATCCCATTCTTTTAAGTTTTCAGTTTATTTTTCAGTATGAAAATCTTGTTTTAATTTTTATTAAGCAATGTATTATCTGCATCCAGGATCTTTGGAGAGCTATCCTCATCAAGAAGGGGGTCTGGAGATGGCAAACAGATGCTGTTATCAAATCACCCCAATAGAGTCTTACCTTCAAGAATTCAAGGACAAAGAAAAACAGCTCGAAAAAGCCGGCCTCCGGGTTCTAAAGGTGAATAGCAAAATAATGCTAGGAGAAAATTGTGTTGTGTTATAGATGTACCAAATTAACCAAACTTAAGCAAACAAGATTGAAATTTAACGATTTGACAGGGTTTCATTGAAAAAGTCTCTCCATGATCCAAACTGCAAGTTAAACTGGACATTAACTGGTTGCCACTTCTCCTTTTCTTTGCAGCAGCTGACTGTTCAATGCTGTCAATTTTGGATCTCAGGTTTGCTTTCCGTGAAGAAGAAAAAAAGATTTAATCCATTTGAGGGAATTAAGGTTATTTAATCCATCTGATTTGCTGATTTCCCATTTTGCAGCTGCAAACATGATCTTCCATACAGCTCTGGAGGAGTCCCGGAGAAGCTTTTATGGAGTCATATTGGCCTGTAGGAGTTAGCATAACTTGCCTCCTTCTCCCTTCCATTATCAGGAGCATCCTATAAAACTGAGGATTCCCTGCTCATGGAAAATTGGGAACTAATTGTAAATCTAACACAACAGTTGCTTGTGTGTGTATGTGTGCGTTTAATCAACCACCAATCTTGGGATTAATAAACAATGTGTCACTCTGAGCAAATCATCAGATGGTGTCAGTTTCCTACAAATTATGAGCTCAAGCTAGATTTCAGAAGACGCTACAGAATTCCAAAATATGTGTCTAATTAAAACTAATATGTTTATGACAAACCTGAAAAAGGATAATGACTAACAAGCAATGACCTAATTTGTATTGTGACTGGAAAAATACACAGGCTTAATATTTCACAGAAAACAAATCCATATTCTGGAACAAAATCTTGGTTGAACAATGATTTATTTGTACAGAAAACAGATAATCCTTGAGTGCGATGTTTCTTTGATTCAACTACCTGGATTTCCTCCAGAATCTTGAAGACACATACCAGGCAGCATCTCTCGTGTGAGGAAAGGTTTGCAGGAATATGCAGTTTCTGCTGGTTGGCAGGCAAATTACATTCACAATCATTACATTACTGGTAATAAACAGGGTACATCCTTACTGTTTGTTTTTATTACAGATAGAGAAAATACATAATCCTCTTTTAGAATCTGCTTTCCAAAGGGTAAAAAGGAAAATAGAAGGAAGAAATACTGGAATGCCTGTATGCCATAGATTGTACCATCATGTCCCTGCTCAGTATTGTAGCCTGGTGTGCAAAACTGGATTTCAGAAAACTTACTCCTCATCACAAGGTAAACCAGATATGTTGCTGTAAATGGTGTAGAAAATGCAGAATATTTTTTCAGCATATTAAATACCCTATTCGTGTGCAAACTGAATACCTTTGAAACAACACAAACATGACTTAAAAGTCGGTATTTTACAACCGGTTGTTAAATTTTAATTTCTATACTGGTGAGAAACAAGATTGGAGTTTTCAATCTTAAGTGCAAGGAACCTAAACTATAGGACTAGATTGTGGTGCCTCTCTTATGTCCTCTTGGGCTTCGCATCCAGAGTTGGCAGTAAATTAGACTACCAGATACTTAACTCTCAATTCACTTCTCAGCTATTATAGGCAGAAAGATTAGAAACTAGAGGGTAAGCAAGAATTCAGCCTCAAACACAGAAGCTGATTCCCCACCGCAGACCATATATCTATATTCCAGAGTATAAACTCTTTAAGTTTCTATCTCTTGTCCATTTGAATTAGCAGATTAGCTCGTGGTTTGTTGATGTACCAAAATACAATTACATAATGCCTCCCGTCTTAGCCTAAGAATTAATGGGGCTCATCTCTCCAAAAAAAAAAAGTTCTACCTAGTATATGGTTGAAAGACTAAAGACACTGCAGTCAGCTAGTCATTTATATTGCCATTATAATGAAAATATGGTAAAACGGCCTGCATTTTGTCTTGCTTTTCAGATCAGAAATATGGAGCTGGCATTTATTTTAAAAAGAACCCTCGGAAACTTATAGCAGATACCAGAGAAAAATGTGAAATGGACCATTTGATCTGTGTGTTTGAAGCAGAAGTTGTAACAGGGTCATACACAAGGGGCAATCGGAGTTATGTAGCACCACCATTAATTAACACAAGCAGTAGGAAGCTCTACGATAGTGTGGTTGATGACATTCATAACCCTGAAATCTTTGTCATTTTCAATAGGGAACAAGCTCTACCATTGTACTTACTGACATGTTCTCTGCTTTGGAACTCTGATCAGAAGGCAAGTTTGGAACCATCATCCTAGAATCTCTGAAGCCTTAATGCTAATTGAAACATAGACACTAGTTCTGTGTTAGATTAAGTAATAAACTTATGGCAGTTTGGTAATGCAATGAAAAAAGAAATCCCTGCAACACTATGTTCTTGAAGTCTCCTTATTTTTTAATGTTATTTCAACAAAAGGCAGTAAAAACCATGTCTTCATGTCTTTATTCTAAAATACTAATTTTAAGCAATCTGAACAGGTGTGTGTGTGGGGGAGGTGTTTTATATTTACTTATTAATTTTACTGTGGTCATTAGCCAGTACAAAAGAACTGATATTCAAATATCCAAAATTAAATTGACCATGTCAGGATTGTTAAGGAAAATACTTAGACAAAAAAGAATTGGCTAAAAGACAATATTAAATCAAAATACGCTAAAAGGTTTGTTGAGGCTACACATATGCAACAAGAAGAAATTAAAATTAGCAATCGGGATAATATAAACTTTGAAATAGCAGTATAAAATATAAATGCAATGCAAATACTGTACGCATATACATATATTTGTAAATAAAACAAAATTATCAAGGTTTAAGAATTATAAACTTCTCTTATAAAACCTGAAAAAAATATAGCACAATAGTTGACACGGCATTTACATTCCAAAGCAAATGGTTAATGCAGAGCCTCAGCCATGTCTGGCTATCCATACTTAGGGATGTTCAATTGGTCTTAATTATTATTATTATTATTATTTTTGCCTGATTAGATAGATCTTCTTAGGCCCACAGAATGAAATGGCTACATGGGGAAGGTAGTTATAGGGCTCTTTTAGCACATAGTACAAAGAGTTGAAAGTTGACTTCATAGGCATGCAGTATGTCTGGTATCAATTTCACTGATCATAAATCTAAAGATATATTTAGCCTTTCACTGAAGTACACATCAGGTTTTTTTAAAAAATATGCTTAAAAGGATAAAAACATTCTAATGTGTAAATGAACAAACTGACTCTTTTATTCTGCACTATTTTATTAAAATGTATCAAGTAAACAATTTCTACATTAGTCAGTTTCCCTATATAACAAAATAGATTACACGTAACTTTACATACATATTTGGCCTTCTAGTGAATTTTCTATGCTCTAACTTAAAAAAATCCATCACCGACTAAATGAACAAGTACATATTAATGTTGTCAATTACCACAGTAATTGAAATCCCTGATATTTTTATCTGCATTAGTCTCTGAAAGCTATTCCAAGACTTCTGGAATTTCGCCATCATCCACAATGAGCATGTGAAGAATTCCTTCCCTTCTCTTCCCACTGCTGATAGCTTTGATATAACAGTTGTGCTTTCCAATACTGAAATGTGTTTCTGTCCCGTCTTCTACAAATTCACCCTGACAAAAAAAGATTTAAAAAGCCACTTAATGATTTTCAAACGTTTCAAGCCTTTATTAGCTATCAAATTATTTTTGTTTCAACAAAGCATAAAATAGTCAGAGTTGCAGCATACAAACAGGACAACAAGCTTAACCCTTAACTTTTTGTGATTTTAGGAATTTCAGAAAAGATGCCAATTCAATTTGAACTGTATCCATGCAATTGTTTTATTGCTTTATGTACTGTATGGCATTTCTCAAAGAAGAGTCCAATTTATTTTGTAGTAAAGTTTAGTGGTAAAAGATTGGGAAGGAGCAAACCTTCTGTTGCTCTTCTGAGGTATTTTAATCTGGAAGCTGATGCCAAGCTTCTGGAAGAGGGAAGCCCTTTCTGTTTTGTAAGAGGCATAAGCATTCTAGAACAGGGGTCCCCAACCCCCGGTCCGTGGACCAGTACTGGGCCGCGGCATGTCAGCAACCGGTGTGCACAAACAAGCAAAGCCCCATCTGCGAGATGCAGGCAGCACACAAAACCATGCCCCCCCCCCCCCGGTTCGCAGAAAAACCTCTCTCCACGGAATCGGTCCCTGGTGCCCAAAAGTTTGGGGACCTCTGTTCTAGAACATGCATGAATCTCTGTATTTTTTCCACCTCCCAACCACTAAACTAAGCAATAAAAGGAGCTCCAGCAGTAGCAAAGGTAGTGGGAGTCTTCCAATTCTGACATACTTGTGGTGTCTGGAGGTTATGGTTTTCTGCTGAAGGAAGGAAGAAAACTCAACTTAGGGAAAGAACCTGTTGTGAAACAGTAAAGTACTGCGAGACTTAAGAGGAAGACGAGGAGAAACAGCAGTCAAAGGAAAAACAATTTTCAGCCAGGATCACATGAGGATTTTTTGTAAACCCCATACATTTTTGCTTTGGTGAGGCTTCTTCTTCCATAAAAACAATAATATTAAAAATTACATTCCATAGGATTTTCAATATTTTTGTGTTTTTTTTACAAAGAAGCAGGGAGTAAATAACAAACATTATTCTGTAATAATAATGTGGTGGCCATTTAATTATATCTGTCAGATATGGCTACAAACAAGATAATTGGATTGTTGTTTATGTTTTGTGAGTTTCTTGCATGTTTTTATTAAAAGGTAGTGAAATAAATATTTTTTAAAAGGCACCAAAATAAGTAACTTCCACTTCATATTTTTGTGGGTCCTTTGCCTATTATGCCTAGTGGATACGTCAATCCTGCTTTCCACAGTGAAACAAAAATTTATTTATTTAGCGTACGGAAGTGAAACAAAGAATGGAGATCCAACAGTTTAGAAAAGCTGAGTTTTGCTTCCAAATGACTCATCTCATTCAACAGAGATGCATTGTACAAACTCCACTACAAGGAAAGCAGTAACCTGATGACAAAAGGCTGATAAGAGAAAGAGAAATGAAAGTGAAATTTGATAAAGTGGCTGAGGTGAACTCAGCATCACTTGGAGATAGTCATCAATTTGGAGACCCTGTGCAGTAGCTTGTGCTTTAGCTTATTTTGTTCTGAAAACTGAGATATGTAAACAAAAAGAAGCCTAGTAAAGATAAAGCTGCACTTTTGTATCTGCTCAACAGCACTTTTGCGTGGTAAAATGCAACTCTGCTCACCTTCTTTCTTGTGTCTTTATCATCTAAAAATGAACCTGTGACACCATCATGATTGTTAAATTTATATCTTATTTTACATCGGGCTGCTGCAGAACTGTAACTTCCACCATCTAAAATCAGTAGGACTGTTGGCAGGGTTAGCTGAAAGTTTTCAGCAACATTTGGAAGGCCAGAGGTTTCCCACCCATAATAATCTTTAAAATTCTATAGGATTATGCTTGTTAGGATTGCTTGTTATTCAGCTGTCCCAGTTATTTTAATTGTCTTAATTCTCCATTTCTTGGGGGAGGAAAGATGCTATGAAATATCCTCTCTAACTTACGACTTAATTATTTTCAACTAAAATAATCAACTTGAAATTATGTTTTTTATGTTACATACCGCTGTCTCCACTTTTTTACCATTGCACCAGACATCCATTGTGTCTTTCTCTATAAAAAAAGATAGTTACATAAATTATTTTATACAATTTTAACATCTTAAATATAAGTCAAGTTGTACCCAGACCAAAGCTCTTCTGCAGTTTGCATTGTCTTTTATTTTGATTTAATTCTACAAAATGCTACAAATGTATTTCTAATTGCATTCTGGTCCAGATGAAATCTCATTATATACATGATAGTTCTCTAAGAATGCTGTTTATATAGTTACAATATAGTGCTTTTGTAAAAAATAAAGTTAACAGCAAACCTATAGAATGTCAAGTGGCCACAGAATGCTGATGGAATATTGAGAAAAAGAATCCAATGGAAGGAAGAATAAAATGAATGGTATCCTTAAGAGAAACACACAAAATTGTAACAATTGCAGGTCCTGCTTATTGTATGACTGCAAGAACATTAAGTACCTATTAATTTAATAGCAAAATGGATTCAATCTGAAAAAGGACAATCATTTCTATGTAAAAGATATCTTATGTATATAACTTGTCAATTTTTTAAAAAAGTACTTTAAAAATAGTATTTCTGAAAAATTCAAAACTGCCTAAAAGGAAATTGTGACTTTTTAAAAATTATGGTGGCTCCTGAAATTGGAGGGCAGATGAATGTGCATTGTTATTAAGTCTACAGCTGATGCCCGTTTGAAAGAAGGACTTTAATTCTGGTAGTCTTTCTGCAAGTAAAAAGGCTCCTATTGTTTGCGCTAGAGAATGCTGCATGTGACTTTTTTTAAAGATATTATAATTGCAGATACAGGTTGACAGTAGACAGAGATTTATTTACAACATGCTGCTATTATCTTAAAACAAGCTTGTTAGTCAACATCCTTAATTCTCAGTTATGCCCATAGCCACATTTATATATCCAACATGATGTTTTCTGGATTTATAGTAATGCTGTTTTCTACTTTGTTATTGCCAACAATACATAGTTAAGATTCAACAATAAATGTAAACCAATGCTAATAAATTACAAATTACTTACCGTAGCTATTAAAACTTAACCCTAATTTAACAAATCCTTTTCAGATCCAAGAGATCTTGTAGTAATCCCAGAATGTCTCCAAGATAAGGGTATATAAGTAATTTGATTATGTGCCATGAAGACATTGTCAATTCTAAGTCACCACACATATTTTCTATAAAGATTCCCTTAGTCTTTATTTCAAATAAATGGGTTATAGCATTAATGCACTTTGGAAAGTGCCAAAATACAACTAAAATAGTATATGAACCATACAAGAGACTTCAGGAAAACTAACTTACCTAAAACAACTCTAAAATCTGTACCATCTAGGTGTAATACCCAAGTATTTGTTGTTTTTGACCGATTCTCCAGATATTTCTTGAGACTTTTTCCATCTATTTCCAGAGTATATTCATATGCAAATCCACTGACTGCATCAATATTAATAGTAGCCTTTGTGTTAGCAGCTCCAACTGTAAATGTCTCCTTTCCCACTAATTTAAACATCCATTCTTTTCTTATTATTTCCTATGGATGAAAAAAAGACATTTAATACAAACATATTTTTGCTTCAATTCTGAAAACTTGACTACTATAAAACCACTCAACATTTTGTTTTATTATTAGAAAAACTGATCAAATCAGATGTAATCAAAAGGCTTATTATCCTTTCATCCTATTGTATAGTAATATTTCCTAACATGAACATAGAATCCAAGTCACAGGAATTAATTATTAAATGCTATTCTGCCCTGATTGTATCCCATTTCTGAGACAATTTACACTTCAAAAACAAAAGCAAAGAGCAACTGAAGAGCAAGTTCAGAGGATGTTTATTAACATGGTGAATTATTATGGTTTGTTGCAGTCAGTGAGATGTTTAGACTGGATTTGGCATTTTATCCGCCTATCAAGTCCTTCCAAGGATCTAGGATAGGTAGATGTTGTTTGATGGTGTTAAAATACTGTCACAGGATTATTATTATTATAATTATTTTTAAAATTCCTAAGCATTCTCCCGCACATGCAGGGTCAAGAAAACAAACTATATCAGGAAAGGTAAATACATGTATATACATTTAGATAACTGAAGGGAGACATGATAGCAGCCTTCAAATATCTCAGGGATTGTCACACAGAAGAGGGAATGGACTTATAACTGTCACCTTACAGAGCTGCATGTAACTACAAAACTACAAGAATAAGATTCAGGTTAAATGCCAAGATTCTACAAACTATCAGCCAATAGTGTAGATTGCCTCATAAAGTGGTGAGTTCTCCTTTGCTTGAGGTCTTTAAAAAGAACCTGGATGTCTCTATTAGGGATGATCTACTGGATCCTGCACTGAGGAAGAAGTTGGACTAGGTTATCTTTTAAGTCTATGATTCTATGATATCAAAAATATAATGGTCGTGAAGAATAGATATGCATGTACCAGGATATACAGTCGGTGAACGTTCTTTCAAATATATTTGCATGCACTTCATATTTACATATTTGAAAACTAAAATGCCTTAGAATACTTTCCCCCTCTTTGTAGGACTAATCCTACAAATGTACAATAGCATAGTTGTGCTAGGGAACTGAGTTTATGAAAGGATAGTAAATTAATTTGCTGTATAATAAATGTAGTGGCAGAGGCGCTTGTATGATTCGCTGTCTCAGTAATATAAATTCTTTGATCTTGGGTATTATACAGCTTAGCTTGGACATGGGGAAGAGATGGCATTTATTGCTGTTGTATAGGCAAGACCTCAAATCATATTTAGAAAAAGTATATGCTACAGCAGTGGTGGCGAACCTATGGCACGCGTGCCAGAGGCGGCACTCAGAGCCCTCTCTGTGGGCACACATGCCATGCCCTGGAGATGGCAACCATCCCTCTTCAACCAGCTGCCCGCTAACTTGCCGAGGTCCCACATGGCCGGATGTCTCCAACACCCATGAGCTCACTGTGTGCGGGGCCGATGGTTTCAGGCAGCAGCCACCCCGGCCCCTGCCTCACCTTGCCCTGCGACGATGGCACCCCTGCCCTGCCTCGCCTTACCCCGCAGCACAAGCCTCCTGCCCACTGCCCCACCTGCCAAAGACCCCCTGGATCTCCTCCAACCCTGCCCAACCCCCACAGGCGTCCCTCCCCAGGAGCAACATCGAGATGATCAGGCCCACCTTGGATACACCCACCCAATCTGCCATGACCACCCCACCATGTCCACCCAGTGGGCCACGCCCACCCGGCACCCGGCGAGAAATAAGTGGGTTTTGGGTTGCAGTTTGGGCACTCGGTCTCTAAAAGGTTCGCCATCACTGTGCTACAGCAATAGGCACTCACCAAAGGAAACAATATAGCTGAACCTGATTTTTTATTTGGACAAATGGGACAGGAAGCTGGAAGAAGATGGGCTACCTACTCAGATTCCACTCTCATACTCATTTCCACAATTTGGGTAAAAGCATTTACAGTACTAGTTGGTCACTTGAATGAAATAGATATAGTCTCCTCTTCCATCTTCCATTGCATGTGCCCACATAAAGAAAATACAGCCAGGATTGATCCTATAGGATCGTTCAAATACATTCAGTTCCCAAAAGCCAGAAGAAAGGAATCACTGTACTGTCAAGATGCCCTTTTCTTTCCTTTCTGCTTACAGTAGTACATAGTATGTAGTATAATGGGGATGATAAAATGGAATGAAAGAAAATAGATAAGGAAAAATTATAATTAAAAAGCAATCTGATAAATTAAGCCATCTCTCCAATTAACTGGTTGCTCATTCATCTCTATTATGACTGCAGCATTTCTCAATTTCCCAGTATACATCTGTATATCTTAAATGATTTTCTGTATAACATCTGCAGCAAAACTAAAAGCAATATTCTAGTACCATGAGGCATTCATTCTTTGTACTATGCTGATGTGTGTTTTCAAGAAACAATTGAATTTCCAAACTGGTTATTGTATATGTATACAATATTGTATATTGTATATTTTCCTGCCAATATTAACAAAGAAAACTAATTAATCTATCAGTTTAAAGCTATGAATATTGTTCTAATAGTCAAAAGCTGAACTCAGCATCTGTTCAGAAGAAAAATACTTCATAAAAACATATTATCTTTAACAACAAATTTTTACAATTTCAATTCAACATTATTATTTATTCAATATGTTTGTGTACTGCTTCCTTTACTGGAACATCTCAAAGCCTTTTTCACTAAAAGCAATAAAATATAATTTCAAAAAGTTAATGAAATACTTATTTAGTCTAAACCTCCTATAATTTTGATTTCAAATAAAAATGGAATTTTTATTTAATTAAAAACTGTTAAAAAGACTCATTTCAGCATGTGTAAAGAGTAATGTACATAAAGATAGTATTTCAAGTGATAGTTATTTAAGGAAACCTTAATTTATAAATACCTATCACTCATATTTATCAAGGACCCTTCATACTTACCCTGAAATCGGTGGGTTAAAATGCTTTCTTGCTTATCCTCTTTTGGGGTCTTTTGTGAATTCTCCTGAGAGTGCTAATTTATGCCCTTACCAAAATGAGGTAGAGTCCTCCCAGTGCCACAAAGGACGTGAATTTATCAGATAATGGTGCAACCAATCTCTTTCTCATTGTAATAATGACAGTAAGGATCTGGAGGAATGACAAGTCTCATGAAATAGCTCTCTCTTTTGGCCTCAAAATTCCCACAGAGATCAAGGTTGTTCTGCTCAAAAGCAAATGTTTGGTATAGAAGACAATTGAGGGACCATTTGATAGTATGGGCCATATTTCTCACACACAGAAGTCTATTTATGGTAATGAAAACAGGATTAACTCAGTGGCTCAACAGGAGGAAAAGGAATAGAAAGAAAAAGATTTAAGAGAAATGACAACAGAAAAGAATTAAGAAAATAAGCTGGAAGTATGGCCAGAAAAGCCTATCCTCAACACCAGACCTGGGCATTTTACATCCCATAGGCCTCATTTGACTTGCAGGTGGTCCAAGTCCGGCCCGCAACATCAGCAGGATTAGGATGTCAGCAGCATCAAGGCAGTATCAATGGCCCTCCATAACAGTCCCAGTTTCTCATGTGGCCCCTTGGGAAAATTTATTGCCCAGCCATGCTCAACACCAACTAGAATAGCTGCCTTCAGAAGTACTCTTTTAGCGAACCAGATTTTACATACACCAAATGTTAACTTGTCTTTCCAAGAACTGAATGCATTTTATGTAAATGTCCTACCTTTCCATCTACATACACAACACGCTTTCCTGATGTGGTCCCATGTTCAAATTCAATTTTGTGAACACCATCACTCAGGCCTACTTCCCAGACAGCTACCAGGTCCGTCATTCTGTCTATGTAACTGTAATGAGAGGTACAAGAACAAAATATTTAAATATGTACACTTGACCTTCTTCAAGCAGAATTATTCAAAAGTGAAATACACTTTAAAAGTGGCTCCAACTAAGCTAGGCTCTTTTTGGAAACTTAATTACATTTACAGAACAGTCTATGCAGCTCTTTAAATTATAAACTTAGTTTTTATCAAATGTTTTGGTCACTCAGGCATATGCATATCATTATCTATATACATATTTATATTTTACTATACCTAATAAGAAAAAGTGACATACTACTACATTACATATAGAGCAAAAATCATTCAGCCAATTTTTATTTTTAAACATCTTGTTAAATCCCAATCATACAGTCATTTCATTGTTCATAAACTGATACAAAATCAGTTTATAGACAGAAAATGAACACATAGGATTGTTCCAAGCCTAAAAGATTTCTTAGAATATTTATTCCCAGATATTTAAAATAATTTAAACAAATAAAACCCCATTTTTTACAATTTTTATTTAAACCCTGTAGAAAATATATTGTTTGATTAACTGAGTAACCTTATAATTTGCCAAATGTAGAACTTACAAAATTATTATTAAACATAATATACCACTGGTTAACAATAATGTGTTCAATCCCAGCCAGTTAAATCCAAACCTTCTCCTGTCTTTCTGATAGAAGGCCTATGGTTCTAACATCAAATTAAATACTGTAACAGATAAGTGCCACAAAACATCTTGATAAGAAAAGCCATGATATTAAATCTAGCAGAGAAATTAGGTAATCACATATTAATACAACCATGGTATTTATTGAATTTTATTTGGTATTTTTATTGATATTCACCACTAGGAGTCATTGTTGATTATAACAGTGTATAAACCAAAGAGACAAATTCATATTTGGCTAAGATTTGTTTCAAAAATAGCACTTTCTATATATCTTACTCTATGGGGTACATTTTACCTTACATCTTCATAGTTATTCTCCATCCAAGTTGCCATAGCATACAAAATGGCTTTTAATCCAATTAGCAGCAAAAAAAAGAAAGAAAAAAAGAAACAAAGCAGAAAGAAATAACAGCAAAAAAGAAAAAACTAAGTTACAGATGTTTAGAATAATAGTGTTCATGACAAATTGCCCCTATTTAAAATCTTTTGCCGTGAACTGGGGAAAAAATGCCGAGAAAAGCATTCTAATTTTACTTTTTGATCTTGCCAATTTGTCAATGGTTTGAAATTAATTTGGATACATAAATGCAATTCACCTAGAAATAGTTATTACAGTACTTACAATCATTGGCTAAAATGCAGGCCAAACCTGTTCCTAAAATGTTTGCAAGTATGCAGTAGCATTTACAACCTTACAAGGTACAAAACAGTTCAACAGATCTTGAACCTCAGCTGAGGAATGCAACATGATGCTACAATCGTTCAGTTATTTAACAAAAATAGGAAACTTCTAAGCTGCTTGCTCCAACATATCAAAACTAATGTTAATGGTCAGCAATCTCTTCCTTCTGGTTTTTACTTTAACTTTTTCATTCTTGCCACTTTTAGAACACAAAGTAGTACATTTAAAAAAAAGAAGACATAAGATTAAAACAGAAGATGTTACAGCAGCACTCACATAGTTTCCCCCACGACTTGAAAAGTTACTTTACTTATAAATGAATAGGCAGAAGACTGGCATGCTATTAAAAAAAATGATTTAAGCCCAGTATTATATGGATTTCCATGTTTTTCATTAAAGTGGAAGAAGGATTCCATAGGCATCCTTAAGAAATAAAAGGTGGGATGGCAGTAATTCAATGTTTGGAAGAAACTTATCAAATTATATTAAAAAGACCAATACAGTGGGGTAATACAGAATGCTCTGTCAAATTAGTGAAAGTGGAAATGAATTCTAGTTAATGATGTTTCATGCTAGAAAACATTTTCCACAGCAGCCACTTTTAAACTGCTTTTTTCTGACTTTGGCACTTTTTACATATCTGACAAGAACCTGTAGAAACACTTTTCTACTATATGAACTAAAACAACAATCAGTTCTGTGATGTGCAGGTTACTAGATTTCTTTGCGTTGATGGAATGCTTAAATTTAAACAGGATTCTTTGCTGAGTTCTCTAAGTTTCAATTGGTGAAAACTACAGCAAAATAGTCTACAAAACAAATTCAATTAAATTCCAGGAATTAACTCTGAATTAAAAAAAGAAATGGCAGTGTGACTATATCACAAATAAAATTTGATCTTGTTTGCCCATATAAGATCTATTCAATAAACCATAATCAGTTGAATTTGCAGAATATGCCATCAAATACATTTAAAAGTCACAAAAACTAACTTCACACAAGAGGCTAAGCATCAAAATATTAATGCTTACAGTACTGTACGAACCAGCTAAGTATGTCAATTTTAACTTTGTTCAACCCATATTTCTGGATTCTTAAAAAAATTATTGAAAAGGGGTTATTAGAGGAACAGGCCTCCCTATATAGATGTGCTTTGGGTGACTTTAGTTAAGGGAAGCCTAAATAATTTTTCAAAGTGATTCTTTTTTATTTCTGATTCATCTGAAACAATGAGGCTGGCCTCAAATCTTTGTGTGGGTACAATCATCCTTCCATACAGAAAAAGCCATTTTCCTGTAGAGAAAAATTACAGTGGCCTAAAGAATCATTCATACCACTCGTGGTTATTTGCCTTTCTATGCAGGAACAGAATTTGAGATTTATATACAGGTAGTCCTCGATTTACAACCACAATTGAGCTCAACATTTCTGTTGCTATTTGTTAAGTGAACTTTGCGCCAACTTATGACTTTTCTTGCCACAGTTAAGTGAATCATTGCAGTTGTTGAGTTAGTAATACAATTAAGTGAATCTGGCTCTCTCATTGACTTGCTTGCCAGAAGATCGCAAAAGGTAATCACATGATCCTAGGACACTGCAATCGTCATAAATACGAGTCAGTTGCCAAGCGTCTGAATCTTGATCACATGACTTTGGGGATATGCAATGGTCATAAGTGTGAAAAATAATCGTTAAGTCACTTTTTAACTTTGAACGGTCACTAAATGAACTGTTGTAAGTCGAGGATTACCTGTACTCCTATTTCTAGATACTGGCATAACCCGGATTAACTCCTTCTGGATCAGAAAAGAAAAAGGCCCCCTTCCATGACGTTTTTGAAGGAAACGACCATTCGGCCCTACTTCCACTATGGCCAACCATTAACGAAGACCCACTTTAACGCTGTTCTGAATCCGGTTTAATAATAACGGGGAGGCGAATTCGGTCCGAAATAAGCCGCAAGAGAGATGGAAGTCTAAAAGGCCGGCTCTACCTGCCTCAGGGACAGAGCCTCTCGCCTGCCCGTCGAAAGCGAGGCCTGGTCCGGGTGGGAAGAGGGCCCCGCCGGCTTCAGGTGAGGATAGCGCGTCTCCCAGCCCGAGGAAGAGAGAGGGACGGGGGCAGCGGCTTCTCCCCTTTCCCCAAGAAACCCCGCCGCGCCTCCCGCGGGGCTTTTCGCGTTCCTGAGAGCCCGCGACTCTCAATATGGCGGTGCGGCCCGGGAGAGGAAAGCCAGCGCGTCGCCTGGAAAGCGCAGTCGGCGCATCTCTCCTTCCCTGGCAACAGGCGCGCACACGCGCTGGGCCCGGCCGAGAGACGCGTCCCGGAGCCTCCGCTGCCCGCCCGAACGCCTCCTCATCTCTGCCGACGCCGGGCTTCTTCTCCCTAGCGCCGCCTCTGGAAACGCCTCGCAAAGCTCCCCCCGCGCTCCTTTCTGTGCCTTTTCGGGCTTTCCTTTCCGCCCACACCGCCCTCAAAGGCTCTCCTCCGCCGGGGCTGCCTTCTTCCTCGCAATGAGTGTTTTCGGGGAGCCGTTGCTCTCGGGAAGGGCTTACTCCGAGGAAGCCTGCAGAGTCTCGCAAGGGTCGCTTCGGCTCCGCTTCTATGCTGGACCTTCTGGTTATTCCAGAAGGTAGGACAAGCAACGATTGGTTTAAATCGCAAGGAAGTCGATTTTACTGGACATCAGGGAAAAAAAACCCTCATGGTGAGAGCCAATTAAAAAAAAAACAAATTACTCTGTGTGTGTGTGTGTATTCTGTTTCAGTGGAGTTGCTAAACAGTCTGAATGGCTATCTTTTAGGGATGCTGTAGTAATGGATTCCTGCACTAAATGGAGTTGGACTAGATGATCTCCAAAGCTCTTTACAGCTCTTACATTCTATGGTTCTAACGTGCTAATCTGTAATTAGCAGCCAGTCCAACTAATTTAGTGAGTTTGCACAAAATATCAAACCATAAACTGCCTAAACTGGCTTTACATATCATGTTGAGAACTAACCAGGCACATTTTAGGTTAGCATTTTGGATGAACAGTTATAATCTTGTTAATAAAGTGGGATAAAAAGAAATAAAAATAGGGGCCTCTGTGCATCTCCAACAGATGAAACATAGGGGCTGCTCACTGGAGGGAAAAAATGTTTTTTAGAAATAGAAAAGTACTCCTCCCCCCCCAAACAGGATCCTAAGGAAAAATTGCCTATGTCATGTTTTCAGTACAAAATGGGGATCTTTTTTTCCTGATCCTGCTAAGTTCTTTTGTAGTATTTTATTGATATTACCAGCAGGTACAGAGAAGCAGGTGTTAAAAATGGAAATGAGTTCCCTCCTCCATTGTTTTCTTTTTGATCACTAAAACAATTACGGTACGGAGGATATTGATGCTAACGGGCTAGATTTCTTCTCTGGAGGCTCAAGACCCTCCACTTTTCCCCTCCCAGAGCATTCTTTCTTTTCTTTTTTTTTAAGTAAGAATGCAGTCGTTGCAGCCAGTATCCCCTATTCTCATTGGAATAACTTTTCCTTGAATAACCACTCTTAGAATAACACTACAGGCAGTCCTTTCTTTGGACCAGGCGCGAGGTTGGAGGCAGCCTCGTCCATTAAATCGAATACCCGCAGAGTGTTGAAAGCCTAAGAACCGCAGCTTCCAAAATGACGACGCTGTTGTCAGGGACTGAACCTGTAACGTGCCTACCATTGTACTTCTAGGGCTCTGAAATTTGTCCAGAGGACACATAGGGGTTCAGCTGAGCTTTGTGTGAACCTGGCACAACCGGTGGATTTGTGTACGGACGTCTGCAAGCAAGCGTTCCTCCTCTCCATCACCCCCCCCCCCTTGCCCAGCCGCTTGCGAAGAGCCAAGGGACTAAGCCAGGCTCGGAAGAGGTGGAGACTGGAAGCCAAACCCAGGGGCGGCTCTGCTTCAGCTTGAGAACCCGCCTTTAACGGCCGCGGAAGCTCACGCCCTTGCCTTTCGCCGAGCAGAAACAGGCGGCGGGAGAGAAGGCGCCTCTGAGGGAAAGCGGACCGGGGAAGCCGCGTGAAAGAAGCCCCGAGCAGCCTGAAGCCGGAGGAGGGCCTGGTGGGCTTAGGCGGGGAGCCGTGGTACATTTAAAGCAGCCTCTCCGGTGAAGCTGCGTTTCTTATAGGTCTTCTTGGCGTCGCTAGTAAAGCTTTGTTCCTTTTGCTCGTTGTAGATTTGAGCGTCGGGGTTGTTGTTTTTTTTTGCCGGTGTTTAATAATAGGTTAGATCAGGACTGCGGTTTTATAATGTTTCATGATAGAACAGAAGCAGACTTGCACCTCGAACAGTAAGAATAGTAGAGATTGTAGGAACTCGGCTGCATGCCGTTTTGCTGCTCTCTGCTGAGGGTCCCGGGCAACTTCCTATCTGGGGTCTGGCTTCCTTAGAGCAGGGGTCTCCAACCTTGGCAACTTTAAGACTTGTGGACTTCAACTCCCAGAATTCCTCAGCCAGCTTTGCGGGCTGAGGAATTCTGGGAGGTGAAGTCCACAAGTCTTAAAGTTGCCAAGGTTGAGGACCCTTGCCTTAGAGGAGTCTTAGATGAAACACCCTTGCCTGTCTCCCCAGTGTTACCCGATCAGTTTGCATCGTTATCCTACGGGCCCCACGTAATATATTAGGCAGCACTAATTAAGGGGAGAGATGTCCAATATTTTCACCAGATGTAGACATAGCTGCTTGTAGTAAGCCTTACTTTCGGTGTTGACAATGACAGTGTGATCAAAGCTACTGGTGGTGCTTGGACTACCATCCTAAAAATGCACTTGAGTTTGACTTTTCAAAATATTTGGGATATGTGTGATACTGTGGAAGGGAATGTTTAAGAGTGTACTTAGTTCAAGTCATGCAGTAGACCTAGAGATTGACTGATTATGAGCCATCAAGTCAGGTTTTTTTCTACTCCTAGCAACCACATAGAGTTTCTCCATGGCAACCCTATCCCTATCCTGGTATCTCAGGTCCTCCAGTAGAGAAAGAATGTACAGTACAGGTAGTTCTTGACTTACAACCATTACTGACCATTCAAAGTTAACAATGGCACTGAAAAAGTGACTGATGACTGTTTTTCACACTTATGACTGTTGGAGCATTCCCATGGTCATGTGATCTAAATTTGGATGCTTGGAAACTGGTTCATATTTATGATAGTTGCAGTGTCCCAGGGTCATATAATCACCATTTGCGACCTTCTGAGAAGCAAAGGCAATGGGGAAGCCAGATCCACTTAACAATCATGTTACTAACTTTAATGGTTGCAATGATTCACTTAACCACTGTAGCAAGAAAGGGTGTAAAATGGGGCAAAACTCGCTTAATAAATGTTTCACTTAGCAACATAAATTTGGGGCTCAATTATAGTCACAAGTTGAAGACTACCTGTAAATGATTTTTCCCATCAGCTTGGAAATTGTTTTGATCTCTTGTGGGGACAATCCTGCTTGATTATTTAACTTTGTAGACACTGGTAGTCACAGAAGACTTTTGAATATATTCTTGGAAAGACACAAGCAACACTTGTTTCTTTTTATAAAGAAAAATGAGCAGTTCTATGGTAGTTTAGTTTTAGGGATAGTAAGAGATAATTTCCCATTTTTCTTGAACAACAATGCAAGCATGTCTTGTCAATTTTCTTATGCTGTATCCACATGATGTGTCTTTATCTCATCTTTTAGCCATGAGTAAGGCAATAAGACAGCCTACTGTCTTAGTATCAAAGAAACATTTCCTCCTTTTGTGATACCATCCAAGGGCATCCTGAAAGGGTACTGAATTAGGCTTTGAAACTTGTTCGGACTGTGCAGCACTTTGGGTTGAATCTCCCAGAGGTTGCTTCAATGGGTAAACATGGCACCTGCTTGGAATCCCTTGAAACAGCTCTTAACTGTTTCCAGAAATAGGCAGTTGCTTACTAAAGGTTCTCACATGTTTCAAAGGACATTTTGAAGATTGAATGCAAATGCTGCATAGCTATATGCCCATTAATACGGGGTGAAGTCAGGGGACTTAAAACAGAGGTACAGTAGAGCTGGATAATGGGAACAACACAACTTTCATGTCAATACAGATAGCTTCAACTCAGTAGTGGGGAAGGGCCCTGTATTAAACGAATCTCATTTCAAAATCTGGGAGGGATTGATTCGTCTTTGAAGGCTTCTTTTGGCAAATTTATTTTTGTTTTTGTTTTTAATATTTGTGTATTTCAGACATTAGAGCTATAAAACAAGTATATAGCATAGCTTTGATCGGTTTTCCGCATGCTGTAATGTTGTTTAATTATTATTTTTTTTGCTTTTCCTATGTCATCTTCCATTTTCAGATTTCAGAAAAGATTGGCATCCTATCCACCAGTCAACTAAAGTCAAGAGTTCAAAATTACTATGACCGAGGTATATTTTTGTTGAACCGTGCAGATGTAATAGCATATGTTAAGAACACATAGAATTGAATTACTTTCAGCAAAAGTTCAATAGTTCAAAATATGTTACAGTAAAAAGTTGACCAGCTAAGGGACTAAAAGAAAGTAGTCAACATACGGAGGTGGTCAACATACAGAACAACTGTACTGATACAAACATGTGCCTCATTTTATTGTACAGCTTTTATTAGAGAATGTCATACAGAAAAACACATAATGAAAACATAGGAAAATCATTCGTACAATATTGTATCATACAAAATCAATACATTTGTTTTGATGTATTGTTGTTCTTATGGTTTGATCATTCTTTCTGAAAAAACGACTCAGTTTTAGTCTGTTTCTTATTTTTATGAAGATAAGTAAAGAAGGCACACTCAATGCTGGCTATACCACTCAGCATACGTGGGCATTTTTCCATAGCAAATTACTATCTTCAATTTCTGTGTTCTGTGTTAGGAGGAATTGCAGAGGATTGCGTTAGAGAACAAGCTAGCAATACTTTGTAATTATAATATGAGAAACATTCTATTTTTTTCCACTGTAGCAAGAGCAAGAATGGGAAAACTTAAACAAGTTATTAAGACAACATGGCTTAAGACCTGTATGCCTTGATATGCCTGGAAGTTGTGGAAATGTGCCAGGTAACCTACTCTTTACTAAACTAATTAAATTCACTGTCAGAATCTTGCACTTCTGTTACTGCTTGAAGATTTAGATACTTAAGTACTCATTCATTTATAAAATATTATTTATTACTGACATTTCTGTGCATATCCACTCCAAATGGTTCTGAGCAGTATGTGATACAAGAGAAACATTGGTAACCCATCAATGTAAGAAATTTAGGATAGGAAAAGTGATTTTTCACTAGTTAAGGGCAATCTCAAATGGTCCTATCCCATAGGACACAATGTGATCCCTTAGCATATAGAACCCTATGCAGGGCATTCCTCAATATGAAATGGCTGAGATATAATTACATGAAAACAAAATATATTTATAGCTTGAAATAGATACTTACAACTACTAAGTTGTGAATACTTGAATTATGCTTACAGTTTTCTTTCAAACAGTGATGATAACACTGTACATTGTTAAGGTCTTAATACCATCACCAAACTTCTTTCTCCCAAGTTTAGAATCCTCCACTAGGGCCAAATAGTTCTCCTTCTAAGTCTTCTGCAATTGAATGGCTTCCTCTTTTCAATACAAGTACCATCACTTAGACTCAACATGCATAACTCCAAGAATTTGTCAGACAGCTTAGCCATTGCTGAAAATGTTAAAGAGTTCATGTCTGCAAATTGCTGAGGATGGACTACTTATTTTGATGAGTATGGTGTAGTTCATTTGTCAGCTCGGGATTGGGCTGCTAACTCCCAATTATCTTTGTTTTATACACTGAAGTATGTTAATATTAATGAGCCAGGTAATAATAGTGATTGACAATTACATGCCATCAAATTGTTGTCAGCTCTTAACGACCATGTAGATAAATTTTCTCTTTGAAGTCCCTAACTTTGGACTTCAGCTCTTATTAATACTGTTCTTTTTTTTAATAATTTATTAGTTTTCTAATTTTACATTTAGGTATTTAAAAAGCAACATGGTGGCTGGGTTAATCAATAGTTCAATAACATACAAAAATCTTTAGTACAAATCTCAAGTTACACCATCAAATATTTCCTCTCTTTTTCCCTTAATATCTACTATCTTGTATTTAAGCTAATACAGTTCTTATTATATCAACTAAGTAAAAACATCATTATTACATTTATCAATAAATTTTTAGTGTATATGTATGTTAATTACTTTTACATTCAATCTTTATAGACAATCAATGTCCTGTTATTGGTTTTTTCCCAATTTTTAGTTTCCCAGCAATATTCAAATTTAAACATTTGATATTTATAATTTCCAGGCTTTAGGTAACCAAAGTTTCCCTTATCTCAATTCATAATAGAATCTAATATTCAAAATACACATCTTATCTATTTGAGGATAGTCTTGTTCTATTTTCTAAAAGTTATCTATTTCCCACCATATTAAATCATCTAAATAATAATACAGTATCCCCTTTAATAAATCAAAACCATTATATATATTGTCTGGGTTAATCAATAAATCAAACATATTCCTAATTTTTTTTCTTTTGGGTCTAATATTTAAATATTAAACAAATAGAACCCTTGTTTTCAACTAATTTCCAAATATTTTAAATTTAATGACCAAAATTTCCCTTATCTCAACTTCTCCCTTTAAACCTCTAATTAGTAATATGAAATCCCCTCTAATAAATCAAAACCCCAATTTTCTTCAGCTTTATTCTGGCTTTCTTCCTTTGCCAACTAGCCTTCCATGTCAGTGCTTTTAAATCATCAAATAGATCTCTATTATTATATATATTATTTGAAATAAGAGAGACCATTTAGTTGCCATTTTTTTGGAAGGGCTAGCCCGTTTGTGTTCATTAAATCGTCTCCGTATTATTTCAGTTCCCCAAGATTGTCCTGATATGTTTATCTTCCATTCAATCTGTTCTTTTTCTTTCTCCTCAAATTTCTTCTGATTTATATAGAAAGTCTCTTCCATTTTCAGTGTTGTCACTCCCTTTTCTGGATTTTCCATTAATTGTATTTGTTGGTCAATTAACTCCTCTGTCTTAGTATTTGATTGTTCCACTTCTTCTTTTATCTTCTGCGTTGTTAGTTCTTTGGTTGTAGTCAAAATTTGGGTTTGTATATCTAAGCTGGCATCTTGTTCTTTTAAGTCACATCTTATTTTGTCACAAGCTGAAAGAATGGTTTCATGTATTGCTTTCAACATGGAAAGCATCTTTTCCTGGTCTTCATCCATATTCTCTTAATAGTGTGTTAAGTTGAGGACTTTAAAATCAGACGTTAAAAATAATTTTATAACTAGGTATGGGACCTCTATTTCATGTATTATAGGTAGTCTTTATAGTAAAAGTCATTTGTCAAGTAAGGTTTTTTAGTCCAAGGTATTTTATCATCTCATATAATAACCAATGTTCCTCAGATAAAGAAATAGGAAAGCAATTCCCCACATACTGTATAGCTCTAAAATTCAGTAAAGGTTTACATTCATAGTTCAAGCAGGCCAATTATGCTGCCCAGAAGTTCTCTTTACAGCTGAGTTTCTCACAGGTGGTATCTATCAAGGTCGAAAGAGTTTTATCTGAAGTCTGGGCTTCAAGCCAAGTCTCTTTTAGGCAATAACAAGTTGTAATACCAAACTTTGCCACAAGATGTCACTGATGCCATTTAAAGTTTTTTAAGTCCAAAATTTTTATAATCCTTTTTCCAGTTTTATTTCTTTTTTTGTAGATAAAAATAAAAGTCTCCAGTAAAAATAGGAAAACTTTTGGTCCCCAAGTTTCAGAAACATATACATCCAATTAGATTAAAATTGTTCTTTTAGTGCTTTAACTCCCCTGGGTAGTCAGTCGCCACTGTTCTTAGAGGGTGGGGTAGAAATTCCCTTCCCTCTCCCCTCACAGGGGGAAAAGATTCTTTGGACAGCTTTTACAGGAAAAGAAAATACTTAGGATCTTAAAGAGAAGATCAGATCTCACCCAGTTTCATCCGCGTTGCTTTAGAAGTGCTTGATGGTAAGTTTGACTTTGGCTGTCTGCAACTTAGTGACGAGCCATATTGCTGTGGCCGGTCTTTCCTCCACCGGTTTGGAGGGCTGCCCCAGATTGAGCGGAAGGTCTGCTGCCCTCCCGCGATCAAGCGGGGGTTCCCGTCCTTGCTCATCGCCCCTACAGGTGACTTTCGACCCTTTCCAGGTCCTCCAGCAGAACGAAATCAAACGCGGAAGACAGAGCTCGCCTTCCAGCGTCTGTGGCGTCCGTGATGGCAAATCGGAAGTCTTATTAATATTGTTCTATATTCAGCCTTTGAGGAAGTGTCTAATATTGGGTACCAATGGGGTCCATTGGTGATTCTTTATTGGTTATTTATTTAAAACATATATGCCCATCTAATGTTGAACTCTGGGAAGCTCCAATGATAATGGATGATAATGATGATAATGAACCAGGCAGTTAGGAATTAAAGAGTTACTGTTTTCTTAATTAGTACCCTTAAAAATCTGAATTCTTTCAGTCTATGAAGAACTTTGCTTATATTGAATTTAGACAGTTGCAGAAAAGTGACCAATTACAGTGACAGAAGCATGCTTGTGTTCCAGACCCCAAAAGTTGGCTTAATGAAATTTATCAGTTCTCAATAGCAAGCTCATATTAAACAATTCTGTATGGTCTGTGCTTAGTTCATTGTTTAAAAATTGAATCATAATATTGATATTGAAGAAAGTTTTACTAATTTCTTAGGTATTGATTTATTAGTCATATGAATGTAAGAATATTAGGGTATTGTCAGCCCTTTGAGTAGGCCAGGTCAGGAATCAGACACTGCAAGAACTATGGAACCCTACTTTATTGTTGTAAATATAATATCAGAATCTTTAACGCTTGCTAGAATTTCATCTGTCCTCTCCTATATCGTGCAAATTATCTTTGGTCTTTTCTTTATGCTTAGTTCTTTTCAGGGCTGAGATTTCATTTAGTCTCATTAATTGATGCTTTGCATTCCTATGCTATCTCTGCCTCCTTTTACAGGTATTAGGCCTCCTATACTTATGCTGATGCCAGAGTCTTGAGTGAAGAAATTGCTACTAAATAACTTTGTTTATTCTATTCAGTGGACATAAATGAAGCACAGTATTTCCTAAAGAATGTTCTTTAATAGCATTTTTCCATCTAGCTCAGCGATATAGAAAGTATCATAAAAGTCATTTGCTTTGTTATTAGTAATTGGAATTATTTTCTTTTTGCCAGCTCTTATATGATACACTTTTATCATTCTAGTTGATTTGGCAGATGCTTTAAAATAATGTATTTTAAAAAGCATTTATTTTTTAAAATACCAGACACAGAGAAAATTGTTATGGACAAACAGTCCTCGGAAGCAGTACAGCATGCACTGAAAACATTAATGGAAGAAACAGAGCGTCAACGAAAAATCATTCGTGGCTTGATAGAAGACAATCACCAGCTTAGGTAATATATTTTTTTAGAATTCAATTGGATGTCATTCTCTAGATCTGCGGGTCCCAACCTTTTCTATACTCAGCACCCCTAGAACGCTTCTGATATATTCTCGTACCCCTTACAAAAGTTCGAAATAACGGCAATGAATTATGCATATAGACTATAATTTTGAAAACCCAAGTTTTCGCATCCCCTGGAATATCATCTCGCACCCCCAGGGGGGTACAAGCACCCCTGGTTGGGAACCCCTGCTCTAGATGAAACAAACTTCTCTTTGTCTCTCTTTCTCTTTTTCTCTCTCTCTCCCTCCTTCCCTCCCACTCTCTCTCTCTCTCTCTCTCTCTCTCTCTCTCTCTCTCTCTCTCTCTCTCTCTCTCTCTCTCTCTCTCTCTCTCTCTCTCTCTCTCTCTCTCTCTCTCTCTCTCTCTCTCTCTCTCTCTCTCTCTCTCTCTCTCTCTCTCTCTCTCTCTCACACACACACACACACACACACACACACACACACACACACACAGAGAGAGATGTACATCATATAGATAAGAAAGAGGATGGTTTGAACCATGATTTGTGCTTTCAAGCCTCGGATAGCAATTTTAAAAAATTAATCTTTGATTAGTTAAAACTAAGAAACCAGGGAAGACGTGGAAAGGGGCAGAAAGTCCTGAAGAAAAAGTCTGGAGACTTTAAGGCCAACTCCAGTCTAGGTGATGGAATTCATAGAACAGTTTCTAAATAAGAGTGCGCGGGACAAAAATTGTGTTGTCTCACTTTCCATTTTCACTTAGCCCCGTCTTCTGGTCGCTCTGTTTGGTTTAAAGATTTCTTGGCTTTTCCACTCTGCTGTGGCATTTTGTAGACTCCATGCATGCTCTCCTCATCGTTGCAAAGTTTGCCATTTAATAGAGATTCTGTGAAAAGCTAACATTGGGTCAGAATCCCATACTTTCAAGGTGGGTTCATTTCCTTGAGTTCTTACCAGGGAAGGATTGTCAATGCAACTTCTTTGCAGCAAGACGAGCTTCCTTTATTGCAGTAAGTCCAGGCTGATGCTCTCTTCTGGTTGTGCATTTCAGGAGGCCTGACTTAGACCAGGTGTGTCCAATCTGTGGCCCATGGGTTGCATGCAGCCCTGGGCAGCTAGTAATTTGGTTCCACAAGATCATAAACTTTTAACATTATTATGTAATCTACATACATTAATTATATTACATATTACATATTTTATATGCAGCCCAAGACAATTCATCTTCACTCAGTGTAGCCAAAAAGTTGGACACCCATGACTTAGACCAGACATGTCAAACACAAGGCCCGGGGGCCAGATGTGGCCCACAAAGTGGTTTCATGTGGCCCGCGAAGCCATCCTGGAAACAGTGAGGGAACAGCCCCCGCTGCCTTGGCCCTGGCCCAGGCCGGCTGGGAGCTAATGTACAATTTTGTGGTGGTACCACCATCCAGTGCCCCCCCCCCCGCATGGCCTGAGAGGAACAGTGAGGCTCCTGCCTTGGCACTTGCCCTGGTCCCACCCCTTTCTGCCAGAGACCCTCAGATCTATCTCACTCCTGTCCAGGCCCCACAGGCCCCCTTGACGCGAACGATGTAGAGCTGGCCACGCCTACCCAGTAAGCCACACACACCCGCCCCCCCGAGGGCAACCGCAATGCTTATGCAGCCCTCAATGAAATTGAGTTTGACACCCCTGACTTAGACTATCTAGGTTTTAATATATTGTCCAGGATGATACCATATAATACTATGAACCAAACTCTTAAGATGGTTTCTTTAGCTAGGTTATTGTATAGATCCACCTATGAATCTCCAATTTTGTTAAACTATATTGACTATAATAGAATTAAACATGTGGGCCACAAATTGTACCCCCACACCCCATAAATAAACTCAATCTTTTTCCTTTGCAATCCATGCTTTATAACTTCTGAACCAAATCATTATAGCTTGTTCAAGAACCATTAAAACAAAGGTAATTTAGCAAATTGTGTGAGCCTAGCTACAGTCTTTTAGGTGGACGCTTTTATGTTACTTTTGATTTGAACTTATTTGGGGATAGCCTATATAGTTTTCATTAAAGTTTATTTTTATTTGGTTTGGTTTTTAATCAGAGATGAATTACGCTTGGAGAGAAGTCGGGCTTCCCGACAGGAACAACGAGCTAATGATTTGGACGTCATTGTGGAAAATGTCAAACATAAAATACGTCAACTGGAAGACGAGTCAATAGCTAATGCTTCTCAGCAACATAACCAAGTCAGAGATCTTCAGAAAGATCATGAAATTTCACAGGTACTTCAATATTGTTCGGAGTTTGAAATTCTGGGAAGGTTTGTTTATTATAGATGAGAGGCTTTTTAAGAACAATAGCAGCTACAAAACTAATTCTAAATTGCATTATGTCAGAGCAGCAGGTTGTTACACTTCAAATAAGAGGTGTCCAACCTTGGCAACTTTAAAATTCCCCAGTGAGCCATGCTGTCTTAAGCTGCCAAGGTTGGAAGCCCCTGCTTTAAATGAACATGCAAGAAAAAAGTGAAAAGTGTTATCTCTAGCTAGAAGACAGATGCTTTCTTTAAAAATGATAGTATGGCCAGCTAGTACTTTTTTTTCTTTTGCAATTTTCTGGTTTTCTGAACCCAGGCAGTGTACCGCCACCAAGCGAAACAGTTGGAGGAGCAAGAAGAGACGATTGCCCATTTACAAAAGGAGCTTTCTAAGCTGGGTCTGGAAGAGCAGCAGCGTATCGCCACTCAGAAAAAAATGTTCCGCCAGTTTTGTAAGCAGGCTCCAAGAACTCATTTGGATCAGCAGTAAGAAATTCTGCATGGTTTTCAAAATAGGTCCTAGTTTTGGGGCGAGGTGCACGCATAAAAATCAAACTAGGGAGGGGGTGGGGAGGTGGAGCTGCCCCACGCGCCCCGCACCCGCTTACCTTAGGATTGTTGCAGCCATGCCTCCCATACCCTGATACCTGTTGCACCTTCTGCGGCCGCATGCCATGTGGTGCATTGCACTGGTGCCACCGCTCACAGCAGAACACTACATGGCTCGTGCTGCTCATGACACCGCCACTTGCAGCAAGAGGCCGCGTGGCTCATCACGCTGGGTGGCAGCAGTGGTGCGATAGTCGCAACAAGCCAGGTAGCCTGCGAGCAGTGGCAGTGGTGCAATTGTCACGAAGAGCCTTGTGGATTTTTGGTGCAAGCGGTGGCAGTGGTGTGATGCGCCATGTGGCGTGTAGCCACATGTGGCCGCAGAAGAATATAGGAATTCTTTTTAGGTAGTTCTTCTCTGCATTACACATTGTACTTTTTCTTTTTTTAAAAATGCTTTAATGTGCAAATAAAGAAAAAGAATGAAAATCAAACAATGCAACCCCCCCACAACCCCAGTAAAATATACATAAAGGAGAAAAGTCAATTATCTCAATTTATCGTTTATTCTTGATTTCACAGAGAAATATTGATCAGCCTTGGCATTGTACTGATAGAAAACTACTTTATAGATGAAAAGTGAATATATGTAAATTAACCTAGATTGAATCCTTCTGGTCTCACATTATCTTTTCGAACATCAAAGATCATCTTTTTTGCTAATGCACCTAATTGTCTAATTGCAAATCTGCAATGTGTTTGCTGCCATCTTAAATTGTACATCCTTTCTTTAGGGACATACAAAACTTACATTCATACGGTTTGGGTTCATTTATATTATTTGCATAATACGTTGATGGAAAAGTACTGTAGAATTCCAAAATTTGAATAGAATTGTTAATGAATAAAATAGCCCAGAAACATAGTATGAAATACGATGGGTGAAACCATCTTGGAAATACCATTTTAGATTTCATATTTTTAAAAGACAGTTTCTATCTTCTCCTCCAGATGTTTTGGTCCATAGTGTTCATCAGCCACAACCAGCAATAACAGGGTAAAATCCAAGCAACTGCTTGGATTTAATTTCATTTCCACAAAAAAGGGAACCCCTACTAGAGAAGTTTTAAGTTACATATGTATGTACCGCATAGTTGTAGGAATTTAGAAAAAAGTTAATTCTTATTTTAATTTTTGATTTGAGAATTATTGCATGTATTTCATTTGCTCTATTTAATTTATATCCGCTTATTCAATATTATTAATTTCTTGACTCGGTGGATTTGTAAATGTGGATTTTTTTCTGACAGATAACATTTTCTGCAAAACTAATCTTTCTCAATGGCATACATATATCTTGCAAACTTGTCTTTATACTTAATGGCTATCTTTGATAGTTGAGCTTCTAGCAGAAAAATACAACAAACTATTAAGGAAAGATAGTACAGTGAGCTAAACTTTGTCTACAAATTCACATTCTTTCTTATAAAAGTTATTCTTAGGGCAGAGTGAGGCATCATCCACGTTTAACATTTGTTGATTTATATTAAATTAGGGTACTCTTCTTTTTTAGGATTGGGTGTCTAATTGATTATTATGAATCTCAGATCAGCCATGTAAGAAAAGAACTAAGGTAGGTAAAATGGTTGGTCTTGTTCAATTGATGGTCTTATTCTATGACTGCAAGTCTTATCCTATGACTGCAAGGTATACTTCAGATGCCAAAATAGTTAAGAGAGACATATTAGCGGGGGATCACCAACCCCTCTTAGACTGTAACCTGCATCAGCCTTCATCACTTAGTCATGCTGTCAAAGACTGATGAAAGTCGGTTTTTAAAACTATTTGGAACATCACGTTACCCATCCCAACCCAATACATAACTGAGATACATGAAAATTTTCATTTAAAATTTAAAAGTAGGGCCAAGCAGCTGACATAACAACCTTACATCGCATCCAACATTTTTTGAATAGACTTTGCTTTTTTTTTTTGATGTGTTCAAATTCTTTGGAGCCAACTTGCAAAAGGGGAGGGGAAGGTAGATGGAAGAAGAAAAAGCATCTTTTCGGCCAAACAAATTCACACTGTTAAATGTAAAAGTTTGTTTTGTACTTCCGTTTTGTACTTTCACTTAAGTGAAACTTACTTTAACCCAATTCCTTCATAGGAAATACAAGAAAGAGATCAATCATTTACAAGACGAAGGAAAAGATGAGGATGAATTCTTGAAGAATATAGATGCTACTGCTAATTACAAAGCCCTGCTTATGGTAAGGAACTTCTGTATAATCTTAGAGGTAGATCTGGAATCTGGACAACCTCTAGGCACAAAGTTATAACTTTCCCAGTTGGTAGATTATAGTGTGATTCACTTTAGGATTATGCTGAAGGCATTGGTTGATAGTCATCAAATGTATCCCACTAATGTCTGCAAATGAGAAACCAAACTTAGAGAACCCACACAACCTTATACTCCAGTCATGAGCTACATATAGCCTCTACCATCATAGTTTGTATAAACTATGTATATCCAAAACCCATTTTGCTTTTTTCAGCAAGCATTCATTTTTTTGTAGCATAACTCAAACTGCCCGCTATCTTTTCACTAGAATCTTCCTAATTTTTCCCTCCATTTTCCCATCTTTTGTAAACATTCTGCCAGATACAGCAATTCATCTTACTGCTCTTATTTACCCATTTCATTTGAAAGATAAAGCATTGCAAATTATATTTTATATCTTCCGATATTTTCAAGTAGTTAAATAAATGAATTTAAATAATTAGAATTTTTATTTAAAGAAGTTTGTTTTAAAAAAAAATATCCTATTAACTTTGGATTCCCTGGGTCAAACTTTAAATAAATCATCGTTTTTCAGTGTTTTAGTATCTTATTAATGGTCTACTTAATTGTTAGGGTAAGTGACAAAGTGCTGTGTTGGCATGCATATGTATGAGTGTAATGTTTAATAATAAATATTTCCAAGTCTTTCCAGACACAAATAATTGAAACAAAAGCTCGAAATGAACAGCTTATGCATGAAAATACTAATCTCAAGAAAGAGATGGAAATTAGGTGAGTGGGAAAAAATAATTTCAGCATAGCATGCATGCATGGATATGATTAAAATCCTGGATCCTAAATTCTGTGTGAAAACATTCAATACTGAATATCAAACAATCTCTACAAGATACTTTTCAGCTATCTGATTCATGTTATCATAGCAATAGATGACCATTTAATAAACTTACTGAGAGCAACAGAAGCATGATCTGTGAATGTTTGGCAAGGATGTTACTGGCCTGTAAAAGCAACAACAGCAATAAATCTACAAGACAAATCTATTCGTTGTGAAACTTCACAGAACCCTTTTCTTCCCTTTAGGCCAACTGCGCAAGAACTAAAATTTTATAAACACCAAGTGAAGAAGCTGGAGAAAATATTAAAGAACATCAAGTAACGTATTTCAAATAAGCATTAATCATTAACCTGTTTTGCAGATGGATAAAAATAGAGACTGTGTAGTGATTATTGATCTGAAATCTTGAGTTTAGACACGAGGAAGCCAAAATGGGAGCACAGCCAAAGGGAAAAACAAGGAGTATAATACCTCAAGGGCCACTCAACCCATTTTTTTAATTATAATTTGTGCTTTTACTTTTTTCTGAGCTTTGAAAGCTATGATTTGTGTAAAACAAATACCTTAAGAAACAATTAGAATGCAATCTTTCACGTTTATGTGGATGCTGACCGTACAGTTTACTTTAGATTTTGTGATTCCATGTTTGGTCTATAAGGCCTGGATTATAGAGCAGTTTATTTAGTGCTTGTCCCTCTCCTCTCTCGGGTTGCTTGTTAGATCACTTGAGAGCAGTGAAGAAGAAAACATGAAAGAAAATAGAGAACTTAAAAAAGGTTTGGGAGGAAGCCAGCTGCAGGAAGTTTGCAGAAGATATTTACAGGTGAGTGGATTTTTGATGCAGAAATTCTGCAAAAAAAACCCCCTATAAAATGAAGAATAGGTTTCTCACTCATTCATATAGTGCAGGGGTACGACCTATGGACTTCAACTTCTAGAATTCCTGAGTCATCATGGCTCAGCTATTCTGGGAGTTGAAGTTCATAGGTCATGAATGAGCTATGAATAGCCTCAGATTTACTGTTTGTTACTCTCCTCCTCTTTCATGGCTACAAGGATATTGTGCTTAGTTATGAGAAGCCTGGTTCTTCCAATTTAACCTAGCCTACTTAACACAGAGAACTGTGGTTTGTTTTGGATTCTCAGGGGAAAAAACAGTAGGGTTTCTGCTACTGATTTGTTCCCTAACTTGAATTTTGACAAATCATAATTCCTTGAATTTATACGACATCTTATTTAAAGAAGAAAGGAAAAGGCAATGAGCTACCTCCTATTGCAGGAAGTCATGTTTTCCCAGTTAAGTGTGTAACTGGGCCAGAAAATACGCCTTTATTAAAAGTTTGTGTTCATTTAACTCCCTTTTTCTCTAAAAATGCCATCTGGCGTCAATAGAATTGAAACTTTTCTTGAATGCTTCTTGACTGTATTGAGAATAATCTCACTGGGTTACCAGATTGTAGAATTGCTCTGACAACTGCTAAGACACTAGCTTCTATGTGGGGGAGCCATATTTCCTACAGTGTAACCTACTTGATGTTGCTTTATAGTAAATGTAACATTTGCAGTGTGGAACACCTATTCTCTTATCATTTGTATTGCAGGGAGAACAAAACTACCACACATCAATTCTAGTCAGGTGCAAACAAAATTATGCTTGTGGCTTTTTACATTGTGACATCTATGACTACCAGTCTTTCTTCCAGTTTAAATCATTTTTTATTATTTGTGCGAACTAGAATTTGCTCCATAGTAAAATTTACCTCCAAAAAAAGCTTGCAAACCAAACCCTAATTTAATGTTACCTCCCAGACAGACTGGTTTTGCTAAGTGAAAGCGCACAAGAAAAAGATTGGAGCAGGCTTGTTCCTGCAGTGCTAAATCATGGTTTGCTGTTGTGCCTGGACTGACCCATTATATTGGCCAAAGCAGTGTACTTAATAAATATAATATAGGCAAACTTCACTGAATAGTACCATGCGTGTTTAGTTAAATCATATATTCTGTGTTAAAAATGTAGTTTCCTTGCTAAATCTTGAAACACAGGGAAGTAGTGAAAAATTAATATGTTTGGGAGTTGGTGGGTAGGAAGAAGCCTGATTATCAAATACTTCACAGGAGGAAGTCCATCATAATCGCTGTTGGAGCAAAACCCAACAGAAGTGCAGCTGTCTTAGATCTTATTATTTCAATGAAAGAGTTGAATGTTTGCCTAACTGTCCATTTTAAACCTGGAATTTTAACTAGGACTGGATTGTACTCAGTGTTCCTCAGATGTAATCAGTGTTACTCCAGCCATGTGACTGTCTGGAACGTTTTACAAAGATTAGTGAATAATGATTCTTTTTTTTCCTAATATTTTAACTCTAAAGGTATTATCCAGCATTGACTCTATTATCAGAAGCCCAAGGAGAGCTCCTCTAATAACACTCATGCAGAAAAAGGGCCTTGGGAAAAGCTGCACTGAGGAGGGAAGTGGATTTGAGCATCTCCCCGCTGTGATTGAAATCTGGGCTGACCAGCTAATGGCCCTGAAGGTACTGGTGATCTTTGACTGCTCTCTTCAGCCTGGGGAGCTGCCCCTGTGCCTGGTTCTTCCAGTGCGCGTCCTCTGTGTTTTCCACATGTCTTTTCCGTGAGTGTAATTTCAACGTACAAGTAGTTAAATAATAACAAACGTATCTTGCAGCAGAGATTTTTTTTACGCTTTAACCTGTGAAGTCTCTCTCTTGCCCCATTTGAAATATTTTGTTTTTAAACAAGGATATGGGAACCTAATAATGAACTCCCCACAGTATCCTGTTAAATTCTTACACTGAAAGCCCAAAAGAATAACACACCATCTTTTTTTTTATTGTTGTTCTTTCAAGATCTTGCACCAGTCCCTGAAAAAGCTGTCTCTGCAATTAGTTCCTTGGTATACCAAAACTATGCAGGATACCAGTGAATGTATTAGAGTTGAGGACCTTCAGCAAATAGTAAATGAAATCTCTGAAGAAGTAGGCAATGAAGAAAAGGTAATTTTGTTCAAAAGTTCTGATTATTCAGAAGTATCAGTTTAATGTGTTACTTATGTGGAAATAATATGATAATAATAATTTGTCATTTTGGGCCTTAACGCACATATACATTCATTCATATGAATGTAATGTGGGCTTATAATGATCTCAAACGTTAATTTGCCTATTTAGAAAATGACACCCTAGTAGTTCTTTTCCAGTTATTGTATCTGGGAGAATCCTAGACTTCAGACAGAATACATCCCCAGGGTTCTATTGTGTTTAATCAGGATTGAAATGACCAGTGGGCTCCTTTTGTTTTTATTTATATCCTACAGAAAAGTCTGATTCCTTCACAACAAACCTTGTATACCATTGTCTGTCATTTTCAAAAACTGTTTGATGTGAAGACCCTAAATGGCATTTACCCTCGAATGAATGAGGTTTATACAAAACTTGGCGAAATGATCAATGCTATGAGGAACCTCTGTGACCTCTTAGAACTAGGTAAGAATCTGTTGCTCTTCCTCTAACCTGCTCAAAGTCAGACCAGGATAATGTGGGGATGAGGAAGAGCTCAGCGGTGTTCTTTGAAAGAGGACTGTAGGTTGAAAGGGCATGAGTTTTGCAGGAAGNTCTCGCCTACATCGTCCATATAGGACGACTCGGGAACTCAACTCCTACCCCGGGCAGCTCACCGATCCCCTTATGCCCAGGGGAAAGGTATCAAGCCGTTTGACAGCAGATGCTGGCTGTCAAACCGGCTTTTACGCAAAACAGGCGGGAGGCAGCAAACAGCTGCGACCAGCGAAATCGCCTGCCACCGGAAGTCTCGAATCGTCATATGTATGTTGAGGTAAAGCAAAAGTTGAGGATGGAATAATAAAATAGAGGACACAGCAGCAAATCGTATTGAATTCTACATATTTTGTTTGGTTTCATTTTAATGTTTAAAGTTTGGTCATACACAAGCTCAGCAAAAGCAAGTTGCAAAAGACCATTAAATGCAGCACCAGATTTGCTGTTGACTCTTTCGGCGTTACGGATTTTAAAAACCCATGTAAGGCAATAGTTTTGCAGCTCCCAGGACTGCATTACATGGCCACAAGAAAGACTGGAAATACACTTTGGAAGAGATCTGATAGCTCCTTAGCTATGACCTTACAGAAAAGCCCATCATTTTTTAACATGTGGAAGGATGAATGGGAAGCAGGTTAAAATTGTCATATATTCCTCATGTGCATCTTGCTCCCTCCCTCCCTCCCTCCCTCCCTCCCTTCCTTCCTTCCTTCCTTCCTTCCTTCCTTCCTTCCTTCCTTCCTTCCTTCCTTCCTTCCTTCCTTCCTTCTTTTAATTGTAAATTATTATTATTATTTATAGTTTTAATGTTTACTGGATTTTAATATTTATAAGCCATCCAGAGTTGCCTGTAGGCCAGGTGGGTGGCATACAAGTTTAATCAATCAATCAATTACTCATGCAAATCAATCAATCTCCACACATAGTCCTAGTGCTCTTTCTAATATCCTAGTGCTGTTCTTCATTGCCTATAAAGGAAGGTTTTCTTCCTATAAAGAAATGACAGGAAGGAACTTTCTTCCATCCCATACTGTTGGCATGATCCAAGCCAGTCTTGTGAAATATCAGGGCTTCCAAAATACCAGGATTGCTCTGTTAATCCTGTTGGTCTTATCCTTCCACTATCAGTACCACAATCGTTTTAATGGGTTATTAGTTTCGCCTTCCCATTAAAAACTCTGGTATGCTGCCTTGCACAATATTTTCCTACGTTCCTTAGTTTGGATGTTTGAGTTGGCAACCACTTCGAACAGCTTGCTGTTTAATTTGCTCCCACTTACTTACTGTATTGTGAAATGTTGCACAGAAACTGATAACAATGTTTCTTCATAGATAGCTCAGCACCACCTAGTGTCCTGGTGAACACTGTTGGAAAGCTATGCAATTTGTTTAATGAGAATGTGGCCTGGCAGGTGGAACAACTCCTGGGCACACAAGACATTGAAAGGTATGTAGATCTTCATAGTTAACTAATTGTAGCTTTACAAAGATGCCTTTAGCCCTACATTCTAAATTCATAATGGAGAGAGAATGGTATGACATCCTGTTGGGTATTTGAAGAACACTATCATGGCCGTCGTAGCCATATTACTCAAGGCAAATGCTAGACAGCTTTTTTGGACTTTTGGGGGCTTAATTTCTAGTGTCTTGATCCTCTTTGCCTTTCTCTGAATATGTTCCATTTTCTCACAGTGCTCCTTAAAAATGGGGTGTCCAAAGGTGGATATGGGTACTTTAGGCGAGACCTGATCATGGGAGAAGAGAATGGAATGCTTAATTCTTCTGCTTAAGTATTCTTTTGATATCACAGGTAGTCCTCACTTAATGATACTAATTGGGACCGGCAAGTCTGTCCCTAAGGATTTGATCCTAAAAGGAGATGTCACACGGCCACACTAATTTATGATTGCAGTTGCAGCAGTTCCAGTTGCCATTAGTAGGTGAACCCCACACAATCACAGTGTCCTGTGATCGTGTGATCATTTGCAACTTTCTGCTGGTTTCTCCATTGACTTTGCCTGTTGGAAACTGGCAAGAAAGGTCACAAATGGTGATCACATGACTGTGGATATTGTGATCCTCGTAATTGCCAGCCAGTTGCCAAGTGCCCAGATCACAATCATGTGACTGCAAGAATCCTGCAACAGCCGCAAGTACAAGGAATAATCATAAGTTCCCTCATTCGGTGCCATTGTAACTTCAGATGGTCACTGAATGAGTGATTGCCAAATGAACACTGCCTGTACATTTCTGCAGATAGAATTTAAAATTACATTTGTCTTTTTTGCAGCCACATCACACTGCTGTCTCATACTCAATTTGCAGTCAACTGTAATTAGTTGACCACCGTGATAAGATTAGGGCTTGTTGTTTAAATAACAAAAGGAGAGAATTGATATTTGTCAAATTGATATTTTTCAGCATTATCTACAAGTTAGAAGAACATGACGACTTTTTCCCAGCATTTCATGCTCTTATTAACAACTTACTTCGTGTTCTGGGTAAGCACTTTCTGCAAATTAATGATAATGGATAGAGGGGCCTGGGCTTTCAGTACATTATTCCACATGAATTTTGTTTTCACCAGAATTTAAGGGCAACATTTAGCTGTCTTTTGAAATATATCTCAAAGAAATTTATGATTATGTGGCACGATCCATTGTCCTTGTAAGTCAATGTTGCATATCCCGCCTCAAAAAAGTATTGAGAACAGCAGTCAAAGACTACCCAAAGCTATTGCTGAATAATGTCTAGAACGTGGGTGTCAAACTGCCGGCCCGCAGGCCGGATGCATCATAGCAAAACAGTGCCCACCCCATTGCCAGCAATGTCAAAAAAGTCGTGACACGTGACGTGATGTTGGGAGTTTGACACCCCTGGTCTAGAAAGTAATATTATAAATAATTATAACTGTAAAATAGTTTTTCCCTGTTTGCATTCTTCTCTTTTTGGAATATACACCTATGTGCTTATTACCCTTGCTATCAGGACCAAGCAGAAAGTGATGTTAGGATTATTCAGCAAAATTCATAGTAATTACATAAGGATTGTTTTACATTGGCTGGTTATTGGGGGGGGGGAGCATTGCCAACCATTCAGCAGGACAATTCACTCATGATGATGCTGAGAATGATATAGTGTGACTACATCTTTTGAGAGGCTCCGTGCATTTGCTTTGAAGGCATTTTAAGGACTTCCCAGTACCCCCAAATACTTCCCCTTGGATTGCCACTGAGGGTTGCTTGTTTTTACTGCCATTTTCATTGGAGGAGTCCACTGTGAATATAGGTGAGATGACCTTGGAAAAACCCCTGAAATAGCCACGTTCAGCCTTCATGGGGACATGCTTTTATGAAGTGTAGCAATATTGCAAGCAAAGAACCCCTCTGAACTGTGTGATCTGTTTCAGAAGCTGATGAATTTAATTTTAAGAAATCCTTAGAATGTATAGTAAAACCTGGTCATTTTGAGTGTGGGGTTCTATACTTCCAGACTGGAGTTTTCCATTCATAAACTAAACTAATTATAGCCTGGTTAGTTTATAGTTTACTTCTAAAATGTAATGAAAATTTTACATAGTTTATAATATAAAGTATAAATATGGGGCCATACATTTTAAGCATTCCGTTGGATATCTAAAAATAGGTGACTGTTGAATTGAAAAGGCAAAATGTGTGCAAAATTGCTTTTGTTTCAGAAGTCAGAAGTCTCGCAGAAATATTACCTGCTGTACAGAAGCTGAAATGGATGGTCCAATAATATAAACTAAATGTAAACTTTTAACATGTTGACTACCTCTTAATGTATTTTTGAATATTTTTATTAAAAATGTCTGAACGGAATCTTGGAAGATTTGTTATTTGCTTTCAATAGCATAAGGACCAAGTTTTCAAAGCAGATTAATAAGGTGTATTAATGAACAGAATATTGGTAGTTAATAAGTCGCAAGCAGCTACTATATCATAAGTTAGTTTATTCTTTAAAAGCGCATTACATCTGTAATGTAGACAAACAGTTTCTGAATTAGATTCTTTGGCATAAATAATGCAAAACATGGTCTGTTTTATGTACAAAATTGAAGGCAATGATTAGATTCTAGTGCATTTGCCTCTTTGCCAGCCATCCTCTTTCCTTAATCCCTTGGATCATTAAAAAACAATCAGAGGATCCTTTAGAACAGGATTCAATGAAATGTGAGGAAATGCTCTTTGAAGGAAGAGCCCCCCCCCCACTGTAGCTGCAGGGATGAGGGATTTTTTTGTCTCCTCACCACCCAGAAAAAGACGGTTCAATACAGACTAAAAAAGTACATTCTGTAAGCAAAACTAGCATACCTGTCAACGTGCTTTCAAAATGATATGGACCCTGGTTTACTTGTGGCACTTTGTGTGGGGGAACAGAGCTGGGAGGGGAAATTAAGCAGCAACAAACAGTGCTTGGTCAGTAAAGCCTGAGAATATGGAAAGCAGAGCACTCTGCCTCAGAATTTGTCCTGTCTTTGGTCAATCAGTTGGGGAACTCCTCAAATACACATTTACTGTTATAAACTTAACCATTAAAAGTTAAATGCAGGATGATGCCAAATTCATCCCTTGAAAAAGTCAGAATTTTAAGAAATATAGTAATGCATTAAATAAGTTAAGCGTTATTGAAGTATAAACATTTACAAAATCTTATTGTGGCCTTCAAAGTTCCAAATATACATGAAGTGTGCTGTTGATCAGGTGTGAAGGAGTCAACTCTGGGGCTGTCCATTTGTCAACTGATACCTGTAAAAGAAAGGTGGCATGATGGGTTAAAGCAGATACTCCTCCACTAACTAGCTAGCTATATAGTATATCCCTGCCTTTTGTGTCTGCATGTGTGTACAAGTATACGTGTATGTGTATATAAGGCAGGGAACCAAAGAATCCCGATGGAATTCAGCTGGTCTGTCCTAGATGTGGTTGCGTTATCTAGCTGTGTGAGGGTGAAATTATCAGCTGAATAAAGTACAGTTAAATCACTGCATTGAAAACAGCCTTCCAGATACTCCTTCCCACTTCCAGGACCTTCTGCAAGATTCACTAAACCTAAAATATTCAAAATATTGCATCACCGTTCTCAGGCTGTTTGAAAGCAAAATGTTTGGAATGAGTAATGTGGGGGGGGGCTTTTCATGTTTTCAATGTTACTTTGTTTCCTCCCTATTTTATGAAATCAAGTTTTTAAAACTGACAATGGTGAAAGCAGCACAGCTACAGGACCAAGCCCATATCTAACTAGTACTCAAGCCATAGTTCCTTGGTTTATCCAGAGGAGCTACCCAATGTCTCATTCCTTACTGCTCTGTTGGTATTAAAAACGTGTTTGGATACATACTGATTGGCCATAAATAGATCATACTTATCACTACAGATCTTAACATCCTCTCAATAGCAAAATTAAACTGATAGCGAGATTGCAATTTGAATTGTGGCTGAATCATAGAAAGCAAAGAGGTGGAATATTGTAAAGCACAGCCTAAATATAGGAAGTGAAATTCTCCCTAGATTTTCCATTGCCTCTTTTAGGAGGGAGAGGAACCAGTACTTGAAATAAGCAATTATTATTTCTTCTGCTCGGTTCATTCTGCACTATCCAGATCTAATAGCTAATCCTCTTGCATTGCTACCTTCTTATATGCTGACCATCCAAACATACCATTGAGAGAAGCCCTTGACTAAATCTTCCTTTGATAAGTCAATCAGCACCTTTAAAAAGAAAAGGCAGAATTGTTAAGCTGCTTAATCAAATATTTAAGTTACAAGAACAAGTTAAAAAATAAAGTGTATTTCCACGTATAAACTGCCTAGCAAGCTTATAACACAGTACTGCTATTTACTGCATACTGCTCCATATACTTTTTAGATGCTTCCTCTAGAGAGTAGCAACATTTTAAAGTTACATAGCAATCCATAGTTATTATCTAAATAATTTGTATAACAGGATCTTATTTCAAGTATATAAGGGTGGAGAGAAAGGGAAGATGTGAATGGCATATTTAAAAGAGTATCTTACCTTTCCAAGTTCTTTCCTTTCATGTGAAATAAGTGACTTTCTGTTTTTCACTGCAATATCTAAGGCTCGTTTCTTAATGTCTTCCAAGGTGTCATTAAATTCAAATCTAAATGTATGAAAAAAGGTATATGCTATGTAAATAGAAATCTTCTAATGCAGCAGCCCCCAACCTATCTGGCTTTATGGACCGGTGGGGTGGAGAGGGGATAGTTTCATGTGACTGGTAGGTGCACATCCTCCATTCAAATAGAGCTTTGCACGCCCATGCACACTTGCTTGCTGCTTGCGCAACCCTGTTCTGAACAGGCCGTAGCCCAGTAGTGGGCTAGTGGCCTGCGGGTTGGGGACCCCTGCTCTAATGTTGAAAAGTTAAAGCTTTACCAAAGTAATAAAAAAACAATTAGAAAAAATACATCTAATATGTAAAACCTGCTCAAATCCAAGCACTTCCAGATTGCAGAGGCAATGCTCCCATAGATTAGATCAGATGTGACTGAGTCTGTGAAGCGTGTTCTTTCCAGGTTATGCCTGTTATTATAGATTTAAGGCTGGCTATGCTAACCATCATTACCTGGTAGTGACAAAAAGTCCTAAAGTCCCTATTCCATGGCACAATTCCATGACACAGATACAACGTGAGAAAAAGAGAACTGAATAAATCATCTGCAGAGGTAACCTTGCTTTCATATGAAAATGGTTGAGTGTTTTATTATGTATCAGTTTTATTTATTATATTGGATTTCTGCTCAACGATTATAATAATGTTCTGGTTTTTTATACAATATATTTCTGTTTATTTATATTTTACATTTATTATTTTTTATAAATAAGGTAGTGATCAAACATAATACTCCTTCCTCCTCCTACTTTCCCCACAACAGCAGCCCTGTGGGTTGAGTTGGGCTAAAACAAAGTGACTGGCCCAAAGTCACCCAGCTGGCTTTTGATTTCTCAAATTCAAAATTTTAGATTATAGAAGGTGGAATTATACAGGTCATCATAGAAGATATTTTCATTTATCTAATTACTGCACAATCTCTAGATAGTGATCTTTCTTTCTCAAGCCGAAAGGCAATAGGTCACTCCAAACCCTTTTTGCATCCAAGAAACATGGGTGATATAAAAACCTCAAGATTGCTTCATCTTGCACCCAGGACTGGATGTTTTGAAAACGGCAGCAGAGAAAAGCTGTGACACTAACAATAAAGTAAAACTTAAACTGAGCTCTATTTATATCACCTAATGAATATTGCATGTTTGTGACGAGCATTATGGGGATATCGGGTGCAACTTCTAGGCCTCAGCAAGAAGTGATTACAGCATTTACTTACTTTTCATCATACCGAGGATTCAGTGTTCTTTTCTTCACAGTAGTTCTTCTTCGGGTTATCCATCTTTTGTCTGGGAGCAAGTAGATGCGAACATATGGATGTGCTCCGTGCCGAGAGCATGGCACTAAATTTCTTATGGATAAAAAACGGGAGCATATTTACAATCAACAGAGTAAAAAAAAAAATCTTGTGAGGAAAAGATTCAGTCAGGTGAACCTTGCTGCAAATTTATTTTTTTTCTTAAATTTGAACAACAACAACAACAAAAACCTTGCTGTTTTTAATGTCTTGTTTTTAATGTTTTAAATCATTTGTAAAGTACCTAGAATTGTTGGCAATTGAGCACCGTATAAATGTAAACAACAACCATATGTTCAGCCAACAATAGTTGCAGACTCTGATTGAATCCTCCAATCCGGAAAATTTGGGAGGGGAAACTGCTATACATATATTCATTCCATTAAGCAAAGATTAAGTAAAATAAGTGCCATTATACCCAAGATGTGTTAAGGGTAATCCAAATATTGAAAAGAATGGTATTTCTCTCAGAACATGAATAGAGATAAATTGCTAAACATTACTGTACCTGCATGAGTTGACCAACACAATGAGAGATTGCCTTAAGGAAGCATACCGGACAGTGATGTGAATCTCTCCCAAAGGCCTTCCATCAGAAAGGGTCCCACTACAAGATAATTGGCTTAATTAAAGGAAGTTCATGACTGAAGCAGCCCGCTACTTCCTGCTTGCTTCAAAGCCAGACTTCCAAATCTAATTCCATAGATGAGTTAACCTTTTTTTTAATATTATAAACAGATCAAAGAGGAAAAAATAAAACCATCAGAGAAAAGAAAGAGATGCTTGTGTATTTCATTGTACACAAGCTAAACTGCCTTTAAATTGTTTCCCAAAGGAGACATTCTGTATTTCAAGTAAGATAGATCTCTTGGTAGTTGTGGTAGTTCATTTTTCTCTCTCTGGTGTATTTCAGTATATTCCAAAACCAAACTAATATTAAAAGAAAAAACGATATTCTCTTATACTGAACCATAATTTTAATTATAAAGTAATCTTTATATAGATGTCTTCCTGAAATAAGCACTCTGTGATTCTTGAAGCCCTTTTTCCAATGCAATATTGCATTTTCCTAATTCTCAGGTGGGAAATACCTGGAAAATTATAATAAAAGACTTATCTCCCAGAAAACACAAGCAAAATAACCAGCTCCTTCCATGTATAACACACGGTCCCATTCATTTTATATCATAACTTCACCCACTGTGGCTCTTCCCCCACAAAAAATGGCAAGGTGTGTCTTTCAACAACAAAAGGTTGCCCAGTTGTATCCAAAGACCAGAGTTTAAAAAAAGCAAGCCCTTTCGTATGAGACTTTGAGTTGATACAAGACATAGATAAGAACTTCAGTTTTTCCATAACACACGTCTACAATTTCAGCATAAATATTCTGGTATACGCAGTTCATCCTGCCTATTTGCAATACTATAAATGATTAACGAAAGTGAAGTAAGTATTTAGGCTAGGTAGGTCAGTTTTGTGTTACCAAATACAATTGTGAAATAGAATACCCAACTAATGTTCAGTCTGACTTACTTATTGAGGTTCAGATTGCTGCAAGTTATATCCATGATTGAAGAGGCTTCCGTGCCTAGAGATGCAAGGCTGGGGGCAATCTGGAGTCTCTGCAGAGCTGGGAATGTTGGGGGTACTCGAGTGGTCTCTGGAAGTGTCAAGGATTTTGGGTTCAAGCCACCTGTAACTCCTTGCTCATTGATTCCAGCAACTGCCTCTATGACAATGGGCTCTGACAATTTCTCACTTCCATTAGGGTTAGTATTGCTCTCCTGTTTGTCATTTCTGCATTCAGGAACAGCAGAGTCTTTGTTTCCTTGGACTGCCTTGGGCACTTCTACTGGTGGTGGTGCTGCTGGTGGTGGTGGAGGAGGAGGAGGACGAGGTGGTGGCAGCTGTGCCTTGTTTTGGTCTTCATTCTGTTCCGGGGCTGAGGCAGGAACTTGTTTTAAGGCATTAGCCCCATTGGTGTTTTCTGAATCAGGGACCTCTATGTCCAAAGCCTAAGGCAGAAAAAGGAAGTTAAGCATTATCATATTGTTTATTTAAAAAACCAGACTCTTTAGAACCCCTTCAAAACTGCTACCAAATTGTTAATGCTGAGTGTGGTAAAATGAGAAATTGAATACATAGCAAGCAATTGTGTTAATTATAAATAACATGTAGTTTCCGATTTGGCCTCATGAATATATTGCATTATATACCTTATGCATGCATGCATGCATTCATTCATTCATTCATTTATTCAGTATTATTACCCATCTCAAATGCATAACTGGTTAACAATTAAAAACAAAATAAAAACAATAAGCTAAAGTATAAATAACATAAAATGGGACACCAATACATTGTTGTATAAACAGAGGCATAGAATCAAGATCACGTGAAGTACTAGTAACGCTTTATAAAAACCCTAGTAAGATCACAACTGGAATACTGCAACCAATTTTGGTCACCATACTACAAAAAAGATATTGAGACTTTGGAAAAAGTTCAGAAAAGAGCAACTAAAATGACCAAAGGCCTGGAGACTAAAACATATGAAGAACAGCTGCAGGACTTGGGTTTGGCTAGTCTAAAGAAAAAAAGAAACGGGTGACATGATAACAGTATTCCAGTATTTGAGGGGCTGCATCAAACTATTCTCCAAAGCACCAGAGGGCAAGACAAGAAACAATGGTTGGAAACTGATTAAAGAGAGAAGCAACCTGGAATTAAGGAGAAACTTTCTAACAATGACAATTAACTAGTGGAACAGCTTGCCTTCAGAAATCGTGGGCGCTCCATCATTGGAGGTTTTTAAAAAGAGACTAGACCAGTGGTGGCGAACCTATGGCACGGGTGCCAGAGGCGGCACGCAGAGCCCTCTCTGTGGGCACGCGCGCCATCGCCCCAGTCCTAGGCCTTCAGCTGGTTTTTATACAACCTTTTCGCTTTAGGCCTCTGCCGCCGTGTACAAAAAAAAAAAAGGTTCAATTAGTCAATTTCAACTTCTCACAGGAAAAAAAAAGATCTTGCAAAGTTGGAATTGATTGATTGAACTTTTTAGTCCCACCCAGTCTGTTAACACTGCAGCCACGCCCACCCAATGGGCCACGCCCACCCGGCACCCGATGATGCATAAGTGGGTATTGGGTTGCAGTTTCGGCACTCGGTCTCTAAAAGGTTCGCCATCACTGGACTAGACAGTCACTTGTCTCAAATGGTATAGGTTCTCCTGCTTAAGCAAGGGGTTGGACTAGAAGATCTCCAAGGTCCCTTCCAATTTTGTTCTGTTCTGTTCTACTCTACTCTACTTTACATAACAAACACCCACTGTTAATACACTCCAGAAACACCATTCAAGGACCATGTTTTTTCAGCCTGAAAAAAACTTGTCTAAAGGCAGAATTTCTTATAATCATATCCTGGGTAATTTAGCTAAGAAGTAGAAGGCCTTTAGCTGACAATTCTAGAAAAGGAGAGGTATCACCTCTCCAGTGAACACAGTGACTGAAAAATCACAGGATTCCAGTGTCCAACATGTGAATATGAAATAGAGCATATGCTGTGTTTACAGCTTAACATCCTTGGTCATTCACTGTTCACTGGTGCACTTGCACAAAAGCTACAGTTGTCTTCACAGCACACCATTATTGTTTAATCTTATGTACTATTTACATAGCTTTTTGTTCTTTACATTGAAGGATGGTGGGGGTTTTTTTTTACTTCAGTGGAATATTTGTGCCTACAGTAAAAAATATGTCTTCAGGCAGATATTTGCTTGCAGATGGTGTCATACTTAATTATTTCATCAGATATTTTTACAGATATTTTTGCCTTGATACTAGTTTACTGAAGACAAACTTTTCTATTATGTAGAAAACATTGTTGCTATAATCCTTCCCATTTATGAATATTATAAGTAACAGCAGGAATTATTTTATTAAGTGTGAAAGCTATATAAATGTAAATTGTTGTATAATTTGCAGCATACAAATAAACCCAGAAACAATTTGGACGCAGGTGCATATGTGTTATTGGCTTCAAACCAATTCTTGTTTAATTGCTCACTTGGGAAAGAATGCAAATCATATGTTGGAAATATATTCATCACGTATCCACCTAAGATTATTCTTTTGAAAATCTGTGAGATTTCTGTTCTTAATAGCAATAGTAATAGCACATAGACTTATATACTACTTCACAATGCTTTACAGCCCTCTCTAAGTGATTTACAGAATCAGCATATTGCCCCCAACAATCTGGGTCCTCATTTTACCGATCTTGAAAGGACGTAAGGTTGAGTCAACCTTGAACTGGTGAGGATCAAACCTCTGGCAGTGAGCTAGCCTGCAATACTGCATTCTAACCACTGTGCAGCCACAGCTCCTAAACTACATAGCTGTTCTTTCAAAGTCCAAAATCCATCTCCTGGAAAAAGAAAATGTTCTATTTTAAAATATAGCAATGTGGTGGTGTATGTAGTCAAAATAAGAAATTCAATTTTTAATTAATCATTCATCTTATTTAAAAATGTTTTCCACACACAACTTGGAAACTGTGCAGCCAACTATTCTACTTTATCACTATGATGCTCTTAATAATCATCTTCTTGGGCTCTGGAGGTCAATAGATTTAAGGCACCCTTTTTAGGATTATGACTTCAGACATGCAGTAATTTAGTCTTAAAAATGTTAAGGGGGCTGAGAATATAGGAGGCTCAATTCCTTTAATTCCTGCTTCTTCTCCAAGCCAGTCTATCTATTTATAGAATATGTATTTATTAGCGATAGAAAGGAATGACATTCATTGAAGGAATGCAAACACCAATAAACATTGAAATCTGTCACTTTATAAGAAAATATAGCTCTATAGATATACTGTAATTTAGTTCAGTTTTGCTCATGGTAAACCCTAGCATATAAATCAGAGTCCACAAATTACATTCAGCATACAAACATTCAGGCATGTAGGAATTAATGCAGCAATTGCCTCAATCTCGAATTAAGCCAAGGTTCAGAAAAATCTGTTGTGAATTAAAATTTACTATAAATGTATTCAGAATTACTGCTTGCTTATAAAACTAAGATCAGTTACTGAAATAACTTCAGATGTAAAGTGTTCTATAAGACCCAGGGAAGAACTACCAGCTGCTAACATGCCACCCTAGTTATGAACAAATACTCCACTTATGTAGTGTTACATTTATATAGAGAGGCAAGATCAAGAGATACCTTTGAAGCATTAAAATTCATAATCCATTTGGTGTGGATAATGCAGATCTATATATGATGTAAGTTTGGTTTCAGTCTAGTTCTCCAAGACTCATTATACTTAGGATAAATATTTAGTCAAATTATTAGTATATTAAATCTTGATGTTAAAGCCACTACCATCTCTTATTTCATAGGAAAAAAATATTAATTTCAGGGACACACAGGAAAATTTCCCACAAGAACAGGAAGAATTACAATGGAAAATAAAAGAAAGCTAAGCTTACTCTCAGGACAATTTTCAGCTTAATAGAACTGGCCACACCAGAATGGTCCAATTGATAATTTTGTTCAAGTGTCATCTCAGGGTTCTTTAATAAGCGAGCAAGAGAAATCACCAAAGTTCCAAGGGCATTCTCCTTCTCCTTATCTTTGATCTAGAACAAAGAAAACAAAAGGCAGTATAAATAGGCAAGACAAGTGGCTCTTGGTAGTGATTTAAATCTTCCCTTTTCAGATTATATATACTGCCATTATGCGAATCAGCAGCAATTTCTCCATTTCGCATGGGAGCATTGAGACAAGATATATTGAAAGGAAATTCACCAATTAACCGGGCCATTTAAAGCTCTTTTTGGGAAATGACTACATTAACTTTCCTAATGGATGAAGAAAAGCTAATGGTAGTGATGGGAGAGCTCTAACAATAAGAGTAGAATCAATTATATCTGTGCGGCTAGAAACCTATCGAAGCATTCAAAGCTGACTTAACAGCTCATTCGGTCAATATAAGGCCTGAGGGCACTGGAAGAAAAGCTTCAAAAACAAGGCTAATTAATATTCCCCAAATAAGACTGGGGTGGGCCATAGTACAACAGGGTACTTTAGATGCTGCGATGCTGCAACTTACATTTTCACAAAAGTGATTCAAACTCTGTACTTGAAATACACAGAAGTTGGGTTGTTTGCAAAATTGATCCATATTTTCATAGGTGACCCAGATTTATAGTAGGTCCTGTAGAACAGGGGTCCCCATCACCAGGCTGTGGACTAGTACCAGTCCATGGCCTGTTAGGAACCGGGTTGTGAAGTGGCGGGCAAGCGAGGCATCTAGGTTGTGAGAGAAACCATCTCCCCTTCCCCCGGCCACGGAAAAATTGTCTTCAATGAAGACAGTGTCTGGTGCCAGAAAGGTTGGGACTGCTACTGTAGAATATGGCTGTGGATGACTCTGCCTTATTGGCTGGAAATGTGCTTATTAAAAACATTTCCAAACACATCATAAATGCATATTTCCCCCCCAAAAAAGCATAATAAGAGGAGACAAAATGGACAAATGAATGTCCACATTTTGGAATGTCCTATCAAATCAGTCGCAGGTTATTAAGGTATATCTTTTAATACTTCACTACAAATGATTAATCTGTAAATGTTTTTTTTCTACTGGGCACCGATCCCGATAGGTAGGTAGGTAGGTAGGTAGGTAGGTAGGTAGGTAGGTAGGTAGATAGATAGATAGATAGATAGATAGATAGATAGATAGATAGATAGATAGATAGAATAAATAATCAATCAATTAATCCACTAGAAGCAGTTATTTTGGTCAGATACAGAAAAAAAAAATCCACACTCATGCCCAACAGTCTCCTTCTCTCTTGCTATAACTGCAAGTGATGGACATGAGTGTAGATCTATAAATCCCAGTTCCGCAATATTATTAGGGAGAGAAGAAGACAAACTGACCTCCAAATGAAGAGACTGAGATGAAGCACTATGGACGAAGAAAGTGAATGCCTGCCTCCACGCAGGATCTTTAGTGAAATTACAAGTCTGAGGAAAAAGAAACCAGAATTGACATATAGACATTAGATCAAACAGGTTTAGGCTGCAATCCAATTCACGAAGGCATCTGTCTAATTAGAAGTGGATTAGAATTCCGCATTCACATCAGCTGAGTTTCCCTGGGTTCAGTGGGACCTGGTTCTAAGTGTACAGAACTGTTCTCTAGCAGGATGGAACATTTGGTTTCCCAGGTTTATTGAACTACAACTCTTTGAATCTCTGCCAGTATGGCCTATGTGGAGGAATTCTGGGAGTTGCAGTTCAGCAACATCTGGAAGGCCACCACTTGTACTACCCAAAGGAGACATGACTCAAGCTTTATATATCAATCACCCTGACTATCACTTCATTTTCTTTCACCAGAACTATTCAAAGAATTGTTTTCTATCTAGCAGATCCACAATAGAATACAGGTAGTCTTTGACTTATAACAGTTTGTTTAGTGACTATTTGAAATTACAAAGGCACTGAAAAAAGTGACTTAGGACTTAGGACCACTTACAACCGGTGCAGCATCTGGATGGTCACTTGATCAAAATTCTGACTCATAGTTTGACAGTTGCATGTCCCGGGTTGATGTGATCACCTTTTGCGACCTTCTAACAAGCAAAATCAATGGGGAGGCCAGATTTACTTAACAACTGTGTTACTAATTTAACAACTGCAGCGATTCACTTAACAACTGGCAAAAAAGATCGTAACGTGGGGCAAATCCCACATAACAAATGTTTCACTTAGCAATATAAATTTTGGGCTCAATTGTCAGTGCTTTTTTTGTAAAAAAAAAAAAAAAAAAAAAGATGCCTGAACTCACACATGTCATACAACCCGCCTTGCCTACCCTACAAGGTTCCATCCCCAAAAGGTGCTGTAACTCCGTTCTGGGTGTTCTATGACAAAAAAAGCCCTGATTGTGGTCATACGTCGAGGATTAGCTGTATTAAATATTCATTCTGAAATCTGACAATTGAGTAATCCTTGTGTAAATGACGCTCTGAGCAAGGTGGCTTACTTTGACCCTGGGGAAACAGGAATAACTTTGCCACTTGTGCAGAGGTTTAAATACACCATTAATAAGGCCACAGCTGACCCTGAGACCAGATCAATTAATCCTGAATTTAAAGTGGAGCAATAGGGTGTTGTCTCCTTTCCACCCCTTTAGGAATGAAAATTCGCTACCTCAAAAGCCGTTTCCAAAGAACAGCTCAGATTTTGATGGGCTGGTTGGAATCTACTCGCACCATGCAATGCAGACAGGTCTCTCAGTCTCCTTGTTGCTGACATAGGGGCACAGAGGATTTATTTATTTACAAAGTTTGTTTCTTGCTTTTTCATGATTAAAAAAATGACTCCAACATGGAGATATTTGTTAAAGAAATACTCTGTCTTCAGCATGGGGGGATCAGATACTCCATAGTGGAGTCAAGCATTTGTATGCACTAAGGACTGTTTTTTTGTTGCCTTTGGAAATCTGAACTCCATCTTGCAGTGTTCTTCATTTTTGGTCATGCTACTTAGGCTATTGGGCTGTTCAGATTCCCCAGCCTTTCTTTTATCTTAAAAACGTTTTGGATACTTTTGAAACAATTTTTCAGAATTTAGTGACCTCAAACTCTTTTTTACCTTATGAAGAAGAAGATGATGTCTATTACCTTGCTTTTGTGAGTTTTGTTGCCCAATGTGAGCAGGACAAAGGAAGAAGGTTCTTTTTCTATCTTCTGTCATATTTACAATTTTGAAATAAAAGACAGTATTAATGGCAAGATAACATTCACAAGAGAATAAAAAAAGAGAAAAGATGTAACATTTACTCTATTGTTTTAAAAAAGATTGGAAAAAGGGTTAGAAGCCTAAACATGAATCAAAATTTAGTATTTACATGTTATTCAACATTTATTATTGGCAAAGGCTGAATTAAAGGCAGAATTTGAGTTTGGCACATAGAAAACAATTATAAATATTGCTGCTTTTTCACTGCAAATATACTGAATGCACCCCAATACATCATTCTTCCTGAATATGGAACAGATCAGACATGCCAGAGGAGTCTCCATTCATTCACAATAATGCTGGAAAATAGCTGGATTGGTTGGGGATAATGGAAGTTGTAGTTCTATAGATCAAATCACAATTGGACAGGGAAGCTGAATTATGTCTTAAACCAGAGGACAGTGTGAGAAAACCCTTGAAGAAAATTGAAAGTAGCGTATGGCTAAATTGCAGGTTATATTTGCATTACAATAATGGGACACTGAAGCATTGACAAACATCACCTGCCTAGTCCTAATGTAATAACAAGAAAAATGAGAGTTATTTCTTCAAAGATTTTAAATTCATCTCATAATTTGAGAAGCAGTTGCTGAATTTTGAATATTATTGATTTAAAATATTTGCATGGCTGTCCGTCTCAGAACACAACTTTGAGCAACTTACAACAACAATATAACTACAAAAAACCATAAAACCAAAAGTAAAAACCTGGCACCTCAATCACCCTCACACAATGGCCCCCAACCATCCATAGGCTCCTTCCACTTCACCCTATGCTTGAATTTTGATGACTACTGCTCAAAGAAAAATGATATAAATAAAGCCAAACCCCATATATATGTTGGATTTGTTTGTTGCCTTGAGTTATTTGTAAAAATAATGGAGGCATGGATACCAATAAATAAATAAAGATTGCCTAATCTTTGTTTCAACATTGTTTCTACATGTGCTTCACCTATGCATTTATTTCAAATATGTAGTATGCAATGGAAAGGCTGGACCCATCTCCAGTCTATTTAGGGTGCAACTGAGGTCAACTTGCCCCTCTTGACCATCTAGTAAAAGAGAGGAGAGCAGACTGACAGCTCTGCCCAGTTTAGCTGGGTTGAGAGTTAGCCTCCACTTAACCAATGATGGTGGGTAAAGTAGGTCATCTGTTCACAGGGATACTTATAATCTGGCCTAGCTAGTTGCGGAGATTAGATTTTTTAGTCAGTGGGTTGGCTGGCTCAGAAGTGAAATCTTTGCCTGATGCTATACCAAACATGATATCCATTGTAACTCATATGGCCAGTCTATTGTATTCCCACTTTACACAAATCTTGGCATTGGGCGTGTCTTTGGCCATTTTTACATTGAGTACCCTTTTTAAAAAAAAAAATCTTCTAGTATTTATTAAATCCATAATGTATTCAGTTCAATACCCACACAGAAANTGAAATCTTTGCCTGATGCTATACCAAACATGATATCCATTGTAACTCATATGGCCAGTCTATTGTATTCCCACTTTACACAAATCTTGGCATTGGGCGTGTCTTTGGCCATTTTTACATTGAGTACCCTTTTTAAAAAAAAAAATCTTCTAGTATTTATTAAATCCATAATGTATTCAGTTCAATACCCACACAGAAATAAGAGGCATTTACCTTGAGATATCTGTCTTTTCTGTATTTCTTTGCTCCATATTCACCATTGGAATATTCCAATTGATTTTTCTACATTAGGAAAGAATTTTGAATGAAAAAGGAGTTTCAGAAAATTATGTGACATGACAGTATAGGATTGCTTCCCCCAGAAGTCTTAACTAGGATTTTTGTAGGACTATTTTCTATCTGGTCTGTTTTATCTGGGTTGATTGGCTTTATATAGTTATGATCCTGTTCTAGTTTCTGCTGCTTTTAGTTTATTTTCACCCTTTTAAACTTAATATGTCTTCAAAATTAGTAAATCAACTGAAGGGCAGTCCAAAACGGTCTAAGGTTAATCAGGAATGAAAGGAGAACTAATGTTGCCAGCAATGATAATCTTAGAAGACAGCTAGAAAACAACTAGCATGGCTAAGCATCTAGCAGGAAAAAAGTTCATCTACCAATGAAACAAAGTTAAAATTCTGGATTATAAAAAACAGCAAGTGGTTGATGTCAATAAGTTGGGAGATCCAAGACCACTTAAATCAGGGATGTCAAACTTGCAATGTCACATGACGTGTTGTGACGTATCGTGACTTTTTTGCCATTGCTGGCAATGGGGTGGGCACAGTTTTGGTATGATGCATCCGGCCCATGGGCCGGCAGTTTGACACCCCTGACTTAAATAAATTGTGGACAAAATAGGCAACTTATGACTCTCTTGAAGTTGCTGAAATACAACCAGTAGCAGTCCCAGGTAGCATGATCAATAATTAGGAATGCAGGGAGTGATAAATCAGCAACATCTAAGGGAATCTCTAAAAAGCTTAGAAAAGGGAAAATGTCATCAGTTAACTTCATAATACTTTGCAGCCTTTTTCATCTACCTTGTCCTGCTAATGAGATACCACTGATTCTCTGCTTTGTCTTTTAAAACCCTGATTTCCAACTGTATTATACCCACAACATTGTTATTTGTTACACAGGCATATATGCCATGCATTATATCCAATTCTGGCTTAGCAAGGCATAAAACGTATGTCAGGTATATAGGTGTGCTTTGCCACTGCAAATCACATCTTGTACAAATAGCAAGCATAAACATGTAAACATTTAAGTTTATGTGACCAGAGAATATGTGAAAATGTTATTTATTTGTTTACTTACAGGAAGGTTTAAAGCACTGTCCAAATACACTATGAGCATTCCGGTGGCAAGACCATTCCTATCCTAAAAACAAACAATTCCACAAAAAAATAATATACACATATGAACACTACAAGTATTCCAAGGCCCTCTTCCATCCTCTAATAATTAGAGGGTAATAGAAACATTGCCCAATAGTGTGATATTACCCCAAACTCCACAGAGATGCAAATCCTGCCCAATCGATGCAACTCTGTTTGCTACAATGATGGTTTAAATACAGATCTCAGAAGAAATTACACAAGATGGCAGACATACTGGGCTATTTCTTTGTTCTGAATTATTTCACTTGTTTTACAGCATATATTTCTTCTCAAGTCCCACAAAGCACTCACCTCACTAAGTTTCTCTTGATTGGTGACCAAAGAAAACCACTCAAGCTTTAAGTGGACATGCCCACTTGCGATCTTGCTCAACGGAAACCACTTCACAAAAAGAAAGAAACTACATCAGTGCCAGAAATACACACGAAACTGTATCTTTATATTGATCTGTATTCAAGGAGAAATTGAGGAACTCCTTTATCGTGATGTTTTATGCTTTCAGATGATACACCTTAAAACCTGTTATTTTTTAACTGTATTTGTTCAGCTAGAAAAGAAAAAAACATGATTGCTGAGGCACAAGGACAGATGGCATTTAATTTTACAATCAATGACAGTACCCAAATAAATTATTTTTATGCTGCAGAAGGAAAGGATAGTCCTCCACCCTTTTTAGAAAGTCTTGTTTAAGTTTGACTCCTGGCAACGTTTTAGATACATCAATATAATTTTTGGGGCAATTATATGAAAGGGGCTTGTTCCAACCCCCCCCCCCAATGTTTTCTCAGTTTTGCAGCTCACCCCAAAACTCTGCAGTGCTGTTTATTTTATCCTGAAAGCCAATCAGCCACTGTAAAGAATTGGGGATCTTGAGGGAGGGGGCTGAAAGACATTCCTTAGGTTCCGGGAAACAAGATGGGATATAGAAAGGCTCCTCCTGATTCAATGGGATATAAGAGGGAGGAGCAATTAAAGCACAATCAGGCCTATAAGATTCTGTTACAGATAGTCCTTGGCTTATGACCATAATTGAGCCTGGAATTATGGCTGTAAGCTGTGCTGGTCATTAAGCAGATCACCACATGACTATGCCCAATTTTATGTCCTTTTCTGTGGTGGTTGTTAAGTGAATATGGCGATTGTAAAGTAAGTTGCACAGTCATTAAGCAAACTTATTGTAAGGGGCATTTTTGTTGGAAACCAGAACTTCAAATGGTTGCTAAGCAACCAGTTGTAAGTCGAGAACTACCTGTGTTGTATCCTGTCTTAATAAAAGAATAGTTCTAGAGTTCCTGTGGAGTCTGTTTCCTGATCTGGTCTACTCTGAAGAGCTGATAGCTGCAAGCTATCTGGATCCTCCATGTCCTACTCAAAAGCAAATTGCTCCTCCATTTAAATACTCTCAAAATGCTAAGTATTCAATTGATCCACTTAGTCTCTTAAGAAGCAGAATAAGATCAGTACTCTTATTGTACTACATGTGCACTCATTTACTTGATGGTGCAAAGATTCTTGCACCACTTGATCTGTATACTTGCACACATACATACCTGTGGTGCCACAAACCCTCAGTATAGTGAAATTTCCCTTGAAAACCAATGCTACCACAAAACTATTAATCTATGAAGATTTTAACAACACTCTCCTATCTCACAGCCTATACAAACATTTCTAATTTCCCTAACAGCAATGAGAACTCAAATGCCTGAAAAAATGTAGTCCTACTAACATTTAGTAAAAACCTAATGTTTTTATAGCTGATAAGCCACTCATAAAATAGGCATACCTTTTAAGAATTACTGTGACACGTGTGAAGCCAAAACAAAACTTACCTCGTCAACAATTCTGTCTTTCATCACATCTACAAGGTTTATAACCAAGCTGTGGAAAAAATAAAAAGTCACACAAAGGAAATCCTCTGGGACAGTCGTATTTGTTTTCATAATGAATAGGTACCACATGCTGCTATGGAGACTTATAGCACCTTATACTGAACTGTGCTTTTTTTTAAAAAAAATATTATAGTATCTCCTATATAGGTCCGTTAAATATTCTGGCTTCTAATAACCGAATGCTCCCAAGGAAGATATTTGATCCTGAGTCTAGTTCAACCATAAAGGTTGTAAAAAAAATAAGCTCTCTGTAGATAAATAATAATTGACATTTTTTCACATGTGGTGGACTTGTAAGGTTATTAAAGCTTTTTGGATAAAATTATGGTGGAATTTACAACAAGTTTTTAAAAGAAGAATTTTTTTTTTGCCTCAGTTGTTTCTCCTAGGTATTACACATAATCTAGACGTAAAAGAAACGAACCTGATGCTGTATTGTTTAACTGCTGCCCGTTTGCTAATAGCTCAAA